ATTGTCGTTCAGCTCGCTTTATCCACGCGATGAAACATTCGAAGGCGAGTGATCTGCAGTCGGTATTGACAGCCCAAACGTGGCGAGTACTGGCGTCAATGAAGGTCATCGTGTAGCGCTCGCCATCGAGTCCGTCCTCCGTCAGGCACATGAAGTCGCTGTAGACTTTTTCGAGCGGCTTGTAACGTTCGTAGCCCGGTGGTAGGTCGGGGAAGGGCTTGTGGGCGAGCGACGCGGTGGGGCACACGGTGCAGGTCGGGTCATCGGAATTTGCGGTGAGGAAGCCTCCTCGAGGGAGGAGTAAAGCTTCGTTGTCGAGGACCCCAGCCTTCAGAGAGTTCTTAAGGGTTGTGTGAGAAGGATGTCCGAGCCGCTGATGCCAAATTTCAGGTTCCGCACGGTAGCCCACTGTCTTCTGATAATACGTCTGTCTTGCTTCTTCGTCGTTTGCCTCCCCTTCAGGTCCTGCATCGGTGGCGTTGTCAGCGTCGGCGGCGAACGCGCGAGTTGCCTTTTGTTCCAGAAGCGCGTGAGGAATACCGATGATGTCGTCGGTGTCGCCGGCGTCGACTCGGTCTCCGGTGACAAGTAGGCACTGGTTGGGCCAGTCGCGGACTGGGAGTCCCTTCATGGGGATTCGATAATAGCTGAACTCGGCCCCGATAACCTCAATCTCCTGTGGTCCTTGTACGGGTGGCTCCGGTTCCTCGGTAGGTGCTGGCAGCTCCGCTGCTTCCCCGAAGAATTCATATGTTTCTTCCTCCTCTGGCTCTTCTTCCATTGGTTCTGGTGTGTCAGGGGCGTACTGGTCAGGAAGAGGAGGGCCACCCCAGCTGGTGCCTCGTGTCGCCCAGTAGGGATCGAACTCCGCTGTTTCGGCTGAAGGGAGTCCCGGATCTTCGGGATACGGGGAGGTTTCCTGCCCTAATTCCGATTGGCCTCCAGAAGTGCCCCAGCCGCTTCCGCCAGTGGTGTTTCCCCAACCACCAGGGTTGTCTCCGGCGTTCCAACCAGTTGCTTCGCCCCAACCGCCTTCTGCGCTCCAGCCACCTTCGACGGCACCGCTTGCTACTGTTGCTGAGACGGTGCCGTGGTCTTCTGCAGCTGCTTCCTCTGGTGTCAGAATTTCTCCCAGGGGGCCGAGTGCAGGGCCAGGGCTGACTGGCTTGGTTCTGACCTTTTCCTTTCCTTTAGCGGATAGCTCTGCAGATGCTGACGTTCCGCTGTCTTCTTCCATTGATGCAGGTCCGGTTTCAGCTGGGTTGGAGGTCGAAGCTGTTGGGACCGTGCGCAGTCGTAGGAGGCCGTCCGAGGCGGGTCGCTAAAGATCCATCTCTGTAGGATGTGACCAGGTTGGAGCTTCTGCAGTGGTTGTCTTTAACAGCAGGGTGCGGTGAGAATCTCCTGAGGTACCCTGAGCTGAGAACTGCAGCACGAAGACCCCGTCGTTGTCCACGGCTTTGCCGATGTAAGTGTTGCCGTAGAAAAGTTCGAAGGTCTTGTCCTTGCGGTTGCTTCGAATGTCGACTCCGCACCGCATAAGCTGAGCCGAAGAGAGGAGATTGTACCGCAGATCTGGGGCGACGAGCACATCGCCGATGTGAATCGTGAAGTGTGTGTCGTCAGCTTCAAGGAAGATCTCACCGATGTCATATGCTTTGAGTGTGCCGTCGTTTGCCACTGTGATCTCGCAGGGTCGACGCATGCGTTTGGAGTTGGTGATGAATGTTGGTGATCCCACCATGTGCTGTCCGCAGCAACTGTCCAGGTACCAGGTGTTGATGGTTTCGCGGCTCTGGCGCGCGATGTTGGCGATTTTCGGCGTGACCACGCGTTCCATTTCGCCGGTGTATGGAGAAAGAGCGAAGTACCGGTTCGCCGACATGCTGGGAGGTGATTCTGGTGTCGGTGGCGGCAGCTCAAAGTCAGGTGGGTGCCTCTGTTGTAAGTTGTACCAGGTAGGGGCAGTGGGGTCGTTGTTCTGCCTGGGTGCAACAGGGTTGATAGGGTCATCAAGTGCGAATGTTACTCGATCATAGTAACGAAAACCTCTGTTGCGGCGAGCCATGCAGCTCATGATTGTTCCCTTGCCTTTGTCCTTGGTCGTGATGCGTGCAGGCGTCTGCGAGGTGCTTGCGACGGAGGGAGGCGAGATAGTGGTTGTTGTGGCGGAGGGCGCAGAAGGGTTTGAGGAGTTGTTGCGCCTTTCGTCAGCTGCTTTTCGCTTGTAGCACCGATCGATAGTGTGCCCAGGCTTCTTGCAGTACTTGCAGAAAGTCCCCTTCTTTCCGTGCTGCTCCCCTTCAGATGCTCCAACGTAGAAGACTAATTTCTCACGCTTGGTGTTCTTCTCGTTGTACAGGTTGATTTCCTTTTGCTCGGAGAGGAGTGTGGCGCACAGAGCCGATTCGGAGACGGTTGCTCGAGCGCGGAGCAAGGATTGGCATTGATGCCAGTCGGGACCAAGGCCAGAAAGAACCATTGAGATGAACATGTCGTCTGGGACTGTTCCACCGCACTTCTTGATGTGGTCGCGCAGATTGCGGCACCGGTTGATATATGGTCCCGCTTTCTCCCCTTGATGCATTTTGACTGACGTGAGCTGGCTGAGAAGGCGACTCATTGTAACTGGATCTGTTGCCATGTATGAGTTGCGCAGGTGCTCCCAGGAGGCATACGCGGGTGCCCAATCTGATTTATAGGAGCGAATGCCGAGCTGTTCGTCGGGGGAGAGATTTCGGAGCAGAGTGGTGTACGCGAGAAGAGATTCGTGGTAGTATTGGTTCTTCTCTTGGATGGTGCCTTCCGTTGGAAACGGTAAGCTGCCGTCGTAGTACATCCAAATTTGCGCGTTTGTAGCGAGGAGCTCAAACTCGAAGCTCCAAGTATAGAAGTCCTTTCCGTTGAAAGGAACTGATGTCTTCAGCTTTGATGTCAGAACGAATTTTGTGTGTATTGCTGAAATCGTATCTGCGTGTGCGCGTTGGCTGTCTTGCGCAGGAGCTGAAGCTTGACGGTTGTCAAACGTGAATGATCTCTCAGAGTTGACGCGGCGGTCTTCTCCAGGGAGAGGAAGTCCGGCAACCCCACGTGCGAAGCTTGAGCCATCGATGCTCATAGCTTGATGGCTTTCAAGAGCGTTGATGCGGGCGACCAGCTGCTCAACGAGAGCGGCGCTGACGGAAGTCACCGCAGATGGTGCAGTGGGTGTTGCTGATGGTGGGCCCGGAGATTCTGCAGTGGCTTTCCCTTCTGGAGCCATAGTGATGCAGAGTCTTTGATGTTGTAAGGAATAATTTATAAGGAGTTTGTTCTGGCAAGAACAAGAACTTAGCAGGCCTTATAATCCACTCTAGCTCTCATACCATGATGTTACAACTAAGAATCGTAGTGGATAGGATAAGAGTGCTAAGTATAGGAGAGAACTGTGAAGTCTCTGTGTTGACCTTGTTAATAAGTTGAAAGAGAACAAGATGATTATAAGATACAAGTACAAGAATATAAATAGCAATCCTAGCTAGCCATGTACTCTGAGGGGTACATTCCCTTCTTAACTGAATTGCATTGCTACAGTAACACGCGACTATTGCCGTTCTAGACAGTTACCACGTTGTATTTCGCAACTGCCTTGTGCGGTTACTGGGCAGTCAAGGGTCACGACCGTTGACTATCTTCGACTGTTGACCTTCGGGTGACCCTCGAACTTCCGCGTGCTCTATACGAGCTCATGCGGTACTGGTACAAGCACCTGCTTCGCTATGAAGAGGTGCGATAGTGGAGAGTCTTCGGGAATGCTTGTGATAACCTTTCAGTTATCCCAACAAACCGTATGCAGTGAAAGGGTATGTGCCACGTCGATTGAGGAGAGCTTGAGAGGTAGGAGGTTGAGATGCTGAGAGGCTACTGAGGTGCCAGGACCAGGGCTAATGGAATACAATAATAGGCGATGGAAGATTATGCTCATGCCAAATAAGGATCTGGTGTGAGAACAAGAGTGGTAGGCAAACTGTTGGAATAGAAAAGAGTGTCGTTCGACTGACTGTACAAATAAAATGGGGTAATTTCCCCTATCTCAGATCCCCCAGTCAAGAACAGGCTCCATCCACCTCCCACCCAGGGAGACATACGGTACTACCTACCGTATGACATACTATCCAGGACCCTGATCATTCCAGCTGCCAACACAGCAGCACACTCTTTCCTGCCACCTAGAAGTGCCGCTTTCTCCAGGCATATTGCCCAAGCAACACTCCACTTTCCAAGACATATTACCGGTAGTACCTACCATCCCCCTGCGATCGCTAACAGTGAGTAGCTAGGGCTCGTAGCTGGCTGCTATAAGCACGGAAGAGAGATACTGTACAAGGGTGGGATATAAGCCCCATGAAGCCCGGTGATGTGATCTCTTTCTCTGACCATCTCTTTCTCTCCTTGTGTCCGAGACAATCCTTCCAGCTGCAACTGCCGATTAGGCGTCTGCCTCGGCTCCCACCAAAACCTTCCCTGATGTTGCAAGAGCCACACACTTCAGCAGCGGCTGCAGTGGCGCTGCAGCAGCAGCAGCAGAAGCGGGTAGTAGAGAGAGTAGCAGCAGCGGCAGCGGCAGCGGCAGCGGCAGCGGCAGCGGCAGCGGCAGCGGCAGAAACCCCCGGTTTCCCTGGCTCACAAGGCTTCAAATCAAGGCCCTATTTACACAGCATGAGTCCAGGGTTGTTACAGAAGAGAGTAGTAGTCGAGGTCAAGAGGAGGCAGCAGCGCGTCACTGGTAACCAGAACTGGTAACCGGTGCACGAAAAGGAAGATTCGCCGAAGACTGTCACGGGTGCTTTTTTTGTTCATGTCCTCCGCCTCCTCTGCCCCCACCATCACCCACAGGTCTCTACAGCAGAGAGTAGTAATCTAAGTCCAGAGGAGGCAGCAGCGCGTCGCTGGTAACCAGAACTGGTAACCGGTGCACGAAAAGGAAGATTCTTCGGAGGTTGTCCCGAGCAATCTTTCTCATGTCCGCTGCTTCCTCTGATCCCACCATCACCCACAGGTCGCTCTCTTGTACTTTCCCCAAGTCGTCCCGGCAGAATGGGCAGGAGCGAGAGCGAGAGCTCCTGGAGAAGAATGGGTGGGATGGGGTTGAGTGCGGTGGGAAAGGGTAGTAAGAGATGATGTTCTGCATGTGATTTGCTTCCTCTGATCCCACCATCACCCACAAGTCGCTCTCTTGCACTTTCCCCAAGTCGTCCCGACAGAACGGGCAGGAGCGCGAGCGAGAGCTCCTGGGGAAGAATGGGTTGGGATAGGGTTGAGTGAGTTGAAAATGGGTCTTGATAGGCGAGTGGTCTTTCGCATGCGATTTGCCTCCTCTCCCTCCCCCCACCATCACCCACAGGTCGCTCTTGCACTTTCCCCAAGTCATCCCAACAGAACGGGCAGGAGCGAGAGCGAGAGATCCTGGAGACGAATAGGGTGGGGTGGGGTTGAGTGGGGTGGGATGGGATGGGATGGAGTGAAGTGGATGGGGTGAGGCGGGGTGGAGTGAAGTGTAGTGGGGAAGGGTTCGTACTAGATACTGAGGGGGGGAAAGAGGGGCGGAATGATGAGCGTTAGTAAGGAACGGAGTTGGGTGAGATAAAAAAAGGCGGATTGGAGAGAGAGGAGGGCTCACCAGTCCTTAAAGCATCGGGACGGGAGCACATGGAGTGGGCACAGCTGGGAGTTGCACCAATGGGGAGTGAACGGAGGAATAGGAGGAGGAGGAGGAGGAGGAGGAGGAGGAGGAGGAGGAGGAGGAGGAGGAGGAGGAGGAGGAGGAGGAGGAGGAGGAGGAGGAAGAGGAGAAGGGCTCACCAGTCCTTAAAGCATCGGGAGCACATGGAGTGAGCACAGCTGGGAATCGCGACGCGATCACAGCCGTCAAATCGAACCTCCTCGAGGCAGATCCCGCACTCCCGCTCCCTCTCCCTCTCCCTCGCCCTCTCCTTCTCCCTCTCCATCCCTGTCAGCAGCTCTATCTCCTCATCCTCGTTATAAGACGAGCAGGAGGAGGAGGCAGGGGAGGGCCAGGAGGATGAGGAGGAGATGGGGGAAGCAGTGGCAGAGGGGGGTGGTCTGGATTGACCTGCAAGAAGGGAAAAAAACAACCAAAATAATTACTGTGTGCGTTAAAACTACATTCAATTGGATCATACCAATACCCTTGCAAGTCCGTTCCTGTCCCGTTTCCCATAGTGACAGTTAACCTAAAGTGCCCACCGAGTGTTTAAACGAACTCTTAAAGGACACCCTCTCAATTGCCATTACCAATAGCCTTAACAATTGCCTGACTACCTGCTGCCTCCATTCTCAGCCACAGGTAACAAAGAGACAAACAACATCAAGTGCCCGCCCACCTGCTGCGTCCATTCTCGGCCACAGGTAGTGCTCATCGCACCGCCTCTGCTGCTTCGCTTGCTCCACTTCCGATATGCCAGGATACAATTGCAGCAATGAGGGGTACAGGAAGCCTGTAGTAGGGGAGATAGTGAGGTGCATAACAACGAGAATAAGAAAGCATGCTTTGCTTGCTCCACATCCGATATGCCGGGATACAGCTGTAGCAGTGAAGGGTACAGGAAACCTGCAGCAGATACAAGGGCGGAGGGGATTATAGCGAGGATAAGAAATCATGTCGAGTGGCTTCCGATATGCCGGGGTACAGCTGTAGCAGTAAAGGGTACAGAAAGCCTGCAATAGGGTGATAGTAGAGAGGATAATAGTGAGGATATAAAGGGATGCTTCTCTTGCTCCACATACGATATGCCGGAATACAGCTGTGGCAGTGAAGGGTACAGGAAGCCTGCAATAGGGGTGTTACTGGGGAGGATAACAACGAGGATGAGAAATCATGCTTTGCACGCTCCACTTCTGATATGCCGAGATACAGCTGTGGCAGTAAAGGGTACAGGAAGCCTGCAATAGCGTGATAATGGGGAGGGAGGATAATGGGGGGTAATAAATATCGTTAAGAAACGCCTCCTCTCGTGTCTGGCAGCAGAGGTGTATCCGATTCCATGCACCTTGAACACCAGCACTCCCAGTAGCCACTTTATCCTCGTTATAAGCTGCACTCACCATAAAATTCGTTACGAGACGCCTTCCTCTCGTGTCTGGGAGCAGTGGTGCGGCCGCTCTTATGCACCTTGAACACCAGCACTCTATTCAAACCTTCATCCTCGTTACAACTTACCATAAAACTCGCTAAGAGATGCCTTCCGCTCGTGTCTGGCAGCGGTGGTGCGGCCGCTCTTATGCACCTTGAACACCAGCACTCTCAGCAACCCCAGCGCCATATCCTCGTTATAAGATGCACTCACCATAAAACTCGCTAAGAGACGCTTTTCTTTCATGCCGAGCAGCAGTGGTGCGGCCGCTCTTATGCACCTTGAACACCAGCACTCTCAGCAGCCCTTTATCCTCGTTACAAGCCACCTACACACCCCACTTACCATAAAACTCGCTAAGAGATGCCTTCCGCTCGTGTCTGGCAGCGGTGGTGCGGCCGCTCTTATGCACCTTGAACACCAGCACTCTCAGCAGCCCCAGCGCCCCCGCCAGGCTGCAATCCGTCCAGCGCACGAGGAAAAGGACAAGCGGCGCCAGTGGGCTGAAGCCCAGGCGCATCTGCAGATACGCCCCGTCATAGTCTCTCATCATGTCGCCCGCCCTGTGGGGAGAAGGGGGAAGGGAGGAATGAAGAAAAGGACAAGCGGTGCCAGTGGGCTGAAGCCCAATCGATCTGCAGGTATGCCCCGTCGCAATCTCTCATCATATCACCCGCCTTGTGAGGAAAAGGAGGGCGGTACAGGGGGTATAACGGAGGGATAAGGAAAACGACAAGCGGCGCCAGTGGGCTGAAGCCCAGGCGCATCTGCAGATACGCCCCGTCATAGTCTCTCATCATGTCGCCCGCCCTGGGGGGGGGGGAGGAGAGGACGGGAGGAAGGGTGGTATGGGGAGTATAAGCGAGGAATGAAGAAGACGACAAAGAGCGCCAGTGGGCTGAAGCGCGGACGAATGTGCAGATACGTGAGGTCATGATCTCAACTCATTTTAACCGTCCCGCGTATCAACACCACTTCGATTTTGGAACATCACTTCAAGTTGTATCACTACATAAAGTTGTATGACATTATAAATTATCGTCTCCGGTCTTTTCACAAGTCCTTCAGTGTCTTGTTGTGGGTACACACACACGAGCGCTCACAGTAACGTGTTCGTGTGCTGTCTATATGTTTCAAACGCCTTAGCGACCCTTCGAAAAAATCTCGTCGTACTCGCATAGGCACTACCACAACCTATACTCGCTATAAGCACCATCAGTAGCACTCACATTAACGTGTTTGCGTGCTGTATATCCGCTTCAAGCGCCTTAAGCGACTCCTTAAACGTGTCTCGTTGCGGATACTCCCCGAACCCGCATATCGGCACCACCACGCACATCTCGTCGCGTCGCCGCTGCTGCTGCCGTTTCTGCTGCTGCTGCTGCTGCCGCTGCCGCTGCTGCTGCTGATGCTGCTTGCAGTCTTATTTAAGTCCTGTCCTAGGCTCTGCTGCTTGCGCTCGCACCCTACTAATTCATTTTATATGTACACTCGCGAAAACGGTCTCTACGATAGTAATATAGCGTTGCGTCGGGGTCTCTTCGCGCATTCGCGTGCTGGTTAAGGAATCCTAGTAGAAGCTACGAGGTACAAGGGATAGAAGAAAGCCTGGCAGAAAGCATACAAGCTCGCGTTAAGCAGGCGAGCAGGCCGCGAGCTACGCAGGCGAGCGTCTGAACCGCTACGGAGTAATGCCACTGTCACCAACAGTACCACCCGTGCTTGAATGCCTTCCGAGTAACACGCTGTCAAGGCCTTTTGGGTTCAGCTCCGCCTGTCAATCACCGGCAGTGGTTATTGCCTGAAACGACGATTAGTCGATGTCGGAACGTCGCCTGCTAGCGCGCACGCTGACAGGTCGGACGGTGGTGTTGTCGGTGGTGACTCGTTATAAGGCGCCTCAAAACTAGTACTAGGGCCCAGAAGGTCAGTTGCGATGGTTCCCAGAGAAGTCACGACGTGAGATTCGAAGTGTCTGGTAAGTAATGCGAATGGGAGTAGTGTTTTCTTGGACAAGCCAGTGACGCGAACCTTCTGCTGGATGAAGGATTGGCTGAAACGGACTCACGCAATAGCGACGCGACGGTTCACTCAGTTCAGATAGCAAGTTGGGAGAGCTGCAAGTATCAAATCCGGATAAGTGGCGTTAAGTCTACGGAAATTTATGCATACGTGTGCGTGCAGTGGGCAAGGAAAATACGGAGAGCCAAGCAAGTGCTTCGAGTTCAACTCGCAATGGACGTGACGTGCCTTTTTGATTGAGGTTGACAGGAAGCATGTGGAATGTCAACAACAGATGAACTTGCGAGGTGACGATGAGACGAAGGGGCGCATGAGAGGGAAGGTCAGGGAAAGGTAAGGAAGGAGGCGCCATTGGGAGCTTCCAAGGAAGTGTGTTGTTGTGCCGAAAACAGTATTCGAAAATGTGAAGTGCAGGTGGTTTCAAGAGCTCACTGTTATTGTGCTTCAAAAGACACCGCTGACAAATTGTTGGAACACTCATACAGACATTCTGCCCGGCTGATTTTATGCGACATCGTGTCACTTGGAGCAACGTTTCTTGTTAGAGATCACGCTCTGAGTGTGTGGCACTTGGGGAGGGAGTCTTGTGAGGCAAGGAACGACCCGATTGGTGGACGTAATTTCCAAATTGCTTTTCGAATTGCCCAGGGGCTCGGCGGAAATCCCAACCTTGGTTGATGTGGCGCTGAGGAATTGGCGCGAGGTGAGCGCAGTTGGCACCTTCGGTTCGGGTGCTGGCAGGTGGGGCAGGTGCGGCTGGAGGTGGGTTGCGAAAGTGCAGAAGCGCCCCACCGCGAATTCGCCCACAGTTTTTTGGAATCCTCGAACCTAATTACTGTACTACTGTTTGAATGAACTAGGCTTGATGGGCCTAGCATGTGCTTTGATGGGTTACGCTTGACACGTCAGTTTTGTGTGTAGTGATTACCTGGGTAGCCTATGTGTGAAATAACTATTGGCTGAGGTATCGTAAACCCGTTTCCCAAGCTAGTCTTGGCCCTTCACTTTGAAGATTTCTTTGCCACGAAAGGACCAATTGAAAACTCATTCACATGACATGCACACGACAGAAGCAACAAGTCCACGCCCTCAGACACCATTCATGACGTGGCAGCATACCCATTCACATGTTTCCACGAGACAACGGAGATGGATGTACGCGCCAAAGTCTAGTATAAGATTTTCTGTACCATAGACACGTACTCAAATGAAGCATATTCAAATACCAAAAATTTCCCAAATTGTTCTCAACAAGACCACATTTATCCTATTCTCATAAAACATAATAGGTTTAAGAAATATGTGTGTAAACTATTCAATTCGATTATTGTTTAGGTATAATCTGTTCAAAGATTTGGATTGGACCATGTCATGTATTGTTAGTCGACCTTATAAACCGATGGGGTCGTGTAGCTGGATGGACCCAAAACAGCAGGAAATCTCCGTCCACACGCAACACCGCTGGCACTGATCTATCATCCGAGTTTGTCAGACAGTCACTGGTAAATCCGCGAACTCCGCTCAGCTATGAAGGTGCGAGATTCCTCGTCCCGACCCCAGTCATAGTTAACGCTACGGATTTCACAGCCTCCCTTATCACGTCAATGCTGAATCCAGTCGTTGGAAAATCCACGTAATTCCTCGCAGCGAATTACCTACTCAATTTACTATCCCAGCGAGTTGGCCTTCGTAGCCTCTCCGTTCGTCTAGCCGCGTAACGAGCCTTAGCTGGTCGCGCGAATGGCGTCAGCCACGGTTGTCCTTGGAGCGACGGGCCTTTCCTCTCCAACTCTAGCGATTTCGTCCAAGCCTCCATGCATTCAGGCGACTCGTGGAAATTCGCCACGTGTCGCTGTTTCCAGAGCCCAGCTAGGCTGTGGCTTGATTCCACCACTCCCTTCATCAGTTCACCACTGGTCAACGAGTCAACGCCTGCTTCAGTCGAAGAGTCAACGCTTGCCTCATTTAACGAGTCAACGGCAAGTCCAAATAGAAAGGCGGGTGCGCGGGCGCGGGCCTACCGTCGTCCGTGCTGCTAGCAGTAACGATGATTCGGCAAACGAGGCCTTGAGATTGCCGACGTCACCGTTTACCTCCGCGACTCCGCCTGCAGCCAATGCTGCTATTCCCGTCGCCAATGCGTTTTCTGTCGCCGATGTTACACCCGTTGCCACTGCCATTCCCGTCGCACAAGCCGCCGTGATCTTCGTTGCGCAACCGCCGGCCGAACACCACGCTACTTCGCTCTCTAACCATTTCAACTTATTTCTCCTAAAGTTCATCCCCCTCTTGACAAACTTAAGATCCCTCAGTCGAGACGCACTCGCCTCTCTTCTCGCTCCTCTCCGCTCGCTCAATCTCCCATCGATACAATCACAACTCGCATCCGTTACAGTCAAACCCGCTTTTCTCACCTTCGCGGTGTGCCTCCTCCTCGCCGCGGCGCTCCCCAGCGTCGCTCACGCCGCGAAATCCGGCGGACGTGTCGGCGGAAGCGCCTTCTCGTCCTCCTCTTCCTCCTCCTCGCGCTCCCGCTCGCAATCGCGCTCCGGCCCGTCGCAATCTTACTCTTACTCTAACCCCTCTTCCTCCTCCTCGCACCATTCCCGCCATTATTCCGCCAACCCCTCGCGGAACTTTGTCTTTGCGCCATCTGCGCCTTTCTTTGCGCCTTCCCCCTTCTTTGGGGGGTGGGGGGGCGGTTGGGGCGGGGGATGGTCCCCCTTCGCCCCGCGCCCCGCCGTGACGGTTAACATGGGGGGAAGGAGTGGCGGAGGAGGCGGGTTCGGAACGGTAGTTAATCTGCTGGTGTTTGGAATGGTGACATACGCGTTAGTGCAAACGGTTCGAGGGTTTCTGGGGCAGTCGGAGGAGGAGAGAGCGTTGGAAGATGCAGAACGGTGCAGTGTGGTGCAGCTACAGGTGGGTGAGTGCAGAGCAGTGCAGTGCGGTGTTGCTATCTACAGGTAGCTGACATGCCGTTTTTGTTCGTTCTTTCATCGCACATGTGTAAATGGAGGGGGGGCGGGGAGAGTTGCCTGTCTGTGTGATTCGTTCGTCCAATTGTGTTGACCTCAGCCAGAGTTGAGGAAACTTAAATCTGTTTTTTGAGAATTCTCAAAAAATAGATTCGTTCGTCCAACTGTGTTGACCTTAGACAGAGTTGAGGAAACTCGGAAAAACATTTTCGTAAGTTTTGAATTTCAGGTAACTGACTATTAAGTGATGTCATTGTCCCATATCGCACGTGGCAGGTTGGGTTGCTGGGGGCAGCGCGGAGGCTTCAAGGTGACTTGGAGAGAATAGCGGACAGGGCGGATGTGACATCCCAAGATGGGCTGCACTACCTGCTGCAAGGTGTGAGAACTGGTGGTGTGGATTGGAATGCACACATGATGCACACAGGGGTGCGCATATGGTGTACATGTGTGTGTGCGTGCGTGCATGCGTGCGTGCATGCGTGAATGCATGCGTGAATGCATGCGTGAATGCATGCGTGAATGCATGTCTGTAAAAGCTGTTTAGGAAAAAAAATAACAGAGTGAGCAGATGTGACGTCCTTGGATGGGCTGCACTACTTGCTGCAGGGTTCCGAGCGCCCTTCCCTCTCTTGCATTCCTCAGTAACTCCCCTCCCTCTCTGCCTCTCTGCTGTTCCACCCACCCCAACAACCCCAACCCACCCCTTCCAACCCATCTGAACCCACCCACAGAGACTATTCTTGCTCTCCTGCGCCATCCCGACTACTGCGTCTATGGCTTCTCCTCTGTACGCATCTATCCCTCCACGTGTACCCCATCAGACGCATCCTACCCCATACACCCTCTACCATCTGATGCATTTTGGTCCCCTCCTCTTGTACCTTGACTCGTGTGTTTGTTTGTTTGTTTGTTTGTTTTTTTTTTTTTTTTTTTTTTTTTTTTTTTTGGCGTTTCCTTTCGTGTACCACGTTGGGGGGTCAGTACGATTTTTACAAATTTCTTCTCTTTAGCAAACAAATTCCTTAAACATTCCTCCCTTCGCCATTCCAGTCCGCTGTCTACCGCGATGCCACCGCTGGAGAGACCGCGTTCAACCGGGCGAGCATGGAGGAGACGGGGCGATCTGTCCTCACCCCTTTCCTGTCCACTGCTTCCTCCCAACTCTTTCCCCACCAAACCATTCCAGTCCGCTGTCTACCGCGATGCCACCGCTGGAGAGACTGCGTACAACCGGGCGAGCATGGAGGAGCGGAGAAAGTTCCAGGAAGAAACGGTGGTGAACGTGGGGGGCAGCATGGCGAGGAGGAGGAGGGGAGCCCGCATGGTGCAGCAAGAGGGGAGCTCCACTGAATACATTGTGGTGAGTGCAGGCTTGGAGGGGCGTGCAGGTCTGGGGGATAATGGCGAGGAGGAGGAGAGGTGTGCGCATGGTGCAGCAAGAGGGGAGCTCCACTGAATACATTGTGGTGAGTGCAGGCTTGGAGGGGCGTGCAGGTCTGGGGGATAATGGCGAGGAGGAGGAGAGGTGTGCGCATGGTGCAGCAAGAGGGGAGCTCCACAGAATACATTGTGGTGAGTCTGGGTTGAGACGTCTCAAAACTAGGTCCGCACGGTTGAGTACAGTATTGCTGTACTCTTAACGCTCCTGAGTCTGCAGCAGGAGGGGAGCTCCACAGAGTACATTGTGGTGAGGGTGGGGTGCAAGGGCTCTGCTCTTTGGGTGGGTCTGCGGGACTTGTGTGTGCGTCTGGCTGCACGGAAGCATGGCGAGGAGGAGGGGAGCCCGCATGGTGCAGGAGGAGGGGAGCTCCACAGAATACATTGTGGTGAGGGTGGGCTTTAGGCTTTCAGTTCTTGTGCCCTACGGGTTGGTCCGGCTGGCTGTAAGGCGGCATGACGAGGAGGAGGAGGAGGAGAGGAACCCGTACAGTGTAGCAAGAGGGGAGCTCCACAGAATACATTGTGGTGAGGGTGGGGTGCAAGGGCTCTGCTCTTGGAGAGGGTTGGGGGTTCATGGAGCTGCAACGAGGAAATGGAGGAGGAGAGGAACTTGTACAGTGTAGCAGGAGGGGAGCTCCACAGAATACATCGCGGTGATGTGAGGCTTTATTTTCTTAAGGATCGTTGTACGGCTCACTAAATTTTCGTAAGGATCGTTGTAAGATGGGTTCTTCTGGGTGTATTGCTGTACAATTAACGCTGCTGGTACAGCAATATTGTATCAGCCAATTCAGCTGTCCCCCCTCCTCCTGTGTCACTGTCCCCCTCACCAATCTTTGTTGTTGTTGTTGTTGTTGTTGTTGTTTTTTTTTTTTTTTTTTTTTTCTCCCCATTATTTATCATCTGCAAACAGGTGACCATTACAGCAGCATGTGAGGGAACCCTCAATCTGCCTGAAGTGAAATCCGCAGCTTCTTTGAAAGAGGCGCTTGCGAGACTGGGATCGATCCCCATTGATGAGCTGCAGGTGAGAGGGAGGTGGGGCAGGCGGGGGTGAAGAGTGTTTTGAGGAGTCTGGAGGGAGGAGTCAGGGCCGCTCTGCTTCTTTGAAAGAGGCGCTTGCGAGACTGGGATCGATCCCCATTGATGAGCTGCAGGTGAGAGGGAGGTGGGGCAGGCGGGGGTGAAGAGTGTTTTGAGGAGTCTGGAGGGAGGAGTCAGGGCCGCTCTGCTTCTTTGAAAGAGGCGCTTGCGAGACTGGGATCGATCCCCATTGATGAGCTGCAGGTGAGAGGGAGGTGGGGCAGGCGGGGGTGAAGAGTGTGTTGAGGAGTCTGGAGTGGGGAGTCAGGGCCGCTCTGCTTCTTTGAAAGAGGCTCTTGCGAGACTGGGATCGATCCCCATTGATGAGCTGCAGGTGAGAGGGAGGTGGGGCAGGCGGGGGTGAAGAGTGTTTTGAGGAGTCTGGAGGGAGGAGTCAGGGCCGCTCTGCTTCTTTGAAAGAGGCGCTTGCGAGACTGGGATCGATCCCCATTGATGAGCTGCAGGTGAGAGGGAGGTGGGGCAGGCGGGGGTGAAGAGTGTGTTGAGGAGTCTGGAGTGGGGAGTCAGGGCCGCTCTGCTTCTTTGAAAGAGGCTCTTGCGAGACTGGGATCGATCCCCATTGATGAGCTGCAGGTGAGAGGGAGGTGGGGCAGGCGGGGGTGAAGAGTGTTTTGAGGAGTCTGGAGGGAGGAGTCAGGGCCGCTCTGCTTCTTTGAAAGAGGCGCTTGCGAGACTGGGATCGATCCCCATTGATGAGCTGCAGGTGAGAGGGAGGTGGGGCAGGCGGGGGTGAAGAGTGTTTTGAGGAGTCTGGAGGGAGGAGTCAGGGCCGCTCTGCTTCTTTGAAAGAGGCTCTTGCGAGACTGGGATCGATCCCCATTGATGAGCTGCAGGTGAGAGGGAGGTGGGGCAGGCGGGGGTGAAGAGTGTGTTGAGGAGTCTGGAGGGAGGAGTCAGGGCCGCTCTGCTTCTTTGAAAGAGGCGCTTGCGAGACTGGGATCGATCCCCATTGATGAGCTGCAGGTGAGAGGGAGGTGGGGCAGGCGGGGGTGAAGAGTGTGTTGAGGAGTCTGGAGGGAGGAGTCAGGGCCGCTCTGCTTCTTTGAAAGAGGCGCTTGCGAGACTGGGATCGATCCCCATTGATGAGCTGCAGGTGAGAGGGAGGTGGGGCAGGCGGGGGTGAAGAGTGTGTTGAGGAGTCTGGAGGGAGGAGTCAGGGCCGCTCTGCTTCTTTGAAAGAGGCGCTTGCGAGACTGGGATCGATCCCCATTGATGAGCTGCAGGTGAGAGGGAGGTGGGGCAGGCGGGGGTGAAGAGTGTGTTGAGGAGTCTGGAGGGAGGAGTCAGGGCCGCTCTGCTTCTTTGAAAGAGGCTCTTGCGAGACTGGGATCGATCCCCATTGATGAGCTGCAGGTGAGAGGGAGGTGGGGCAGGCGGGGGTGAAGAGTGTGTTGAGGAGTCTGGAGGGAGGAGTCAGGGCCGCTCTGCTTCTTTGAAAGAGGCTCTTGCGAGACTGGGATCGATCCCCATTGATGAGCTGCAGGTGAGAGGGAGGTGGGGCAGGCGGGGGTGAAGAGTGTGTTGAGGAGTCTGGAGGGAGGAGTCAGGGCCGCTCTGCTTCTTTGAAAGAGGCTCTTGCGAGACTGGGATCGATCCCCATTGATGAGCTGCAGGTGAGAGGGAGGTGGGGCAGGCGGTGGTGAAGAGTGTTTTGAGGAGACTGGAGGGAGGAGTCAGGGCCGCTCTGCTTCTTTGAAAGAGGCGCTTGCGAGACTGGGATCGATTCCCATTGATGAGCTGCAGGTGAGAGGGAGGTGGGGCAGGCGGGGGTGAAGAGTGTGTTGAGGAGTCTGGAGTGGGGAGTCAGGGCCGCTCTGCTTCTTTGAAAGAGGCTCTTGCGAGACTGGGATCGATCCCCATTGATGAGCTGCAGGTGAGAGGGAGGTGGGGCAGGCGGGGGTGAAGAGTGTTTTGAGGAGTCTGGAGGGAGGAGTCAGGGCCGCTCTGCTTCTTTGAAAGAGGCGCTTGCGAGACTGGGATCGATCCCCATTGATGAGCTGCAGGTGAGAGGGAGGTGGGGCAGGCGGGGGTGAAGAGTGTGTTGAGGAGTCTGGAGGGAGGAGTCAGGGCCGCTCTGCTTCTTTGAAAGAGGCTCTTGCGAGACTGGGATCGATCCCCATTGATGAGCTGCAGGTGAGAGGGAGGTGGGGCAGGCGGGGGTGAAGAGTGTGTTGAGGAGTCTGGAGGGAGGAGTCAGGGCCGCTCTGCTTCTTTGAAAGAGGCTCTTGCGAGACTGGGATCGATCCCCATTGATGAGCTGCAGGTGAGAGGGAGGTGGGGCAGGCGGGGGTGAAGAGTGTGTTGAGGAGTCTGGAGGGAGGAGTCAGGGCCGCTCTGCTTCTTTGAAAGAGGCTCTTGCGAGACTGGGATCGATCCCCATTGATGAGCTGCAGGTGAGAGGGAGGTGGGGCAGGCGGTGGTGAAGAGTGTTTTGAGGAGACTGGAGGGAGGAGTCAGGGCCGCTCTGCTTCTTTGAAAGAGGCGCTTGCGAGACTGGGATCGATTCCCATTGATGAGCTGCAGGTGAGAGGGAGGTGGGGCAGGCGGGGGTGAAGAGTGTGTTGAGGAGTCTGGAGTGGGGAGTCAGGGCCGCTCTGCTTCTTTGAAAGAGGCTCTTGCGAGACTGGGATCGATCCCCATTGATGAGCTGCAGGTGAGAGGGAGGTGGGGCAGGCGGGGGTGAAGAGTGTGTTGAGGAGTCTGGAGGGAGGAGTCAGGGCCGCTCTGCTTCTTTGAAAGAGGCTCTTGCGAGACTGGGATCGATCCCCATTGATGAGCTGCAGGTGAGAGGGAGGTGGGGCAGGCGGGGGTGAAGAGTGTTTTGAGGAGTCTGGAGGGAGGAGTCAGGGCCGCTCTGCTTCTTTGAAAGAGGCTCTTGCGAGACTGGGATCGATCCCCATTGATGAGCTGCAGGTGAGATCAACGAGTGGAGCAGGTTAGATTGGCAAGTGGGGCAGGTGAGTGGGCAGTGGGGCAGGGCAGGTGAGATCACCAAGTGCAACTTTTGAGGCGCCTCAAAAGGCAGTGGGGCAAAGCAGGTGAGATCACCAAGTGCAACTTTTGAGGCGCCTCAAAAGGCAGTGGGGCAGGGCAGGTGAGAGCACCAAGTGCAGAAGCAGGTGGGGTGGGAAGTGAAAAAAGGGAGAGTGGATTTGATGGTGGAAGGAGGGGGGAGTTTGAGGGTTGGGATGAGGGGTGAGTGAGGGTCTTCCTCTTGGCTCTCTGGACCGTTTTTACCTTTATGAAGCTTCCCTCTACCTGCCTCTACCCACTGTAAACTGCCTTATACCGCTATGTGCCACTCTCCACTGCAGGGTGTGGAAGTGCTGTGGACGCCACAAGACCCCTCTGACTCGTTGACAGCGCATGACATTCTGAGTGACTATCCTTCCATGCGCACGCTATAAAGTGACTCGTTTTATGGGTATCGTAGCATGCGGCTTGTCGGCAGCGCTGAGATTCTCGGTGATTATCCTCCATGCGCATGCTACAAGATGACCGGATTCGCATGCTTTCAGAGAACTATACAGTGCATGACATTCTAATCTGAGTGCCAATGCTGGTGTGCATGCACCACATGGTATTATTTGTCAAATGAGTGTACATTCTATATTATAACGGTGGAGGCAAAGCATCACTGTAGCCCACGTCCACGAGGCACAGCCCAGCAGCAGGCGCAGGGGGGGCTGTGGATCGCCTCTCTCCCATTACTATACGATTGTAACTATAATGGTGGTGGTAAAGCATCACTGTAGCCCAAGTCCACAGGCACAGTCCGGCAACAGGGGCAGGGGGGGCAGTGGACCGCCTCTGTTAAAATATATCTTGTGTAGCATGCCAACACATGTGACTGTACACCAATTGTGGTGTACAGTTGGGTTGGGACTACACCCAACTTTGGGTGTAGTCTTGTACTTTGGGGTGCCAATCCACCCAATTGTGGTGGAGCCCCCAAATGCAACCCACTTGACTTATGGGTGCCTCACTTCCACAAGTGAGGTCACCTCAAGCCAAGTGGGCTTAGGGTTGCCTCACTTCTACAAAGTGTGGGCAACCCAACCCACTTGACCTATGGTAGCCTCACTCCCCCAAGTGAGGTCAACCCAACCTATGGTCACCTTCACCCTTCTCTTCCAAGCCTCCCTTCCAACTATGTATGCTAGGTTTCTCCTCTAATCAAGTGACTTGTTCAATCTATAATCTTCACATGGTATAGAGCTACTTGTTCCTAAAGCCTTACCTCTCCTTCCCTCCAGTTTTTTTTACATGGGCCCACCCCACAGCCACAAATCCCCTCCTACGCGTGGCTCAACCTAGCATACCCTCGCCGCGACCTACACCGTCGCCGCCGTTCCCTCCCCCCGCCGAGATTGCGCCCTCCTTGCCTGCGGATCCCACCGCCGCGAGCGCATCATCGCTTCCCCCCCTCCTCCCGTCGCCGCGACCCCCCGTCGCCGCCTCCCCCTTCCGCCGCCGCACCTCCTCCGGCGCCGCCTGCGCATCCTGCCGCCGCGACGCCTCGTCGCCGCCTGCTCTTCCCACCGCCGCGACCTCTCGTCGCCGCCCCCCTCCCGCCGCCGCACCTACTTCGGCGCCGCCTGCGCATCCCGCCGCCGCACCTACTTCGGCGCCGCCCGCGCATCCCGCCGCCGCGCCTACTTCGGTGCCGCCCGCGCATCCCGCCGCCGCGCCTACTTCGGCGCCGCCTGCACATCCCGCCGCCGCGCCTACTTCGGCGCCGCCTGCCCATCCCTCCGACGCGACGCCCCGTCGTCGCCTCCCCTTCCCGCCGCCGCGACGCTTCGTCGCCGCCTGCCCGTCCAGACGCCGCGACTTCGCGTCGCCGCCTGCACGCCCCGCAGCTGCGACTTCGCGTCGCCGCCTGCACGCCCCGCAGCCGCGACTTCGCGTCGCCGCCTGCGCGCCCCCGCCGCCGCGACCTTCTGTCGCCGCCTGCACGTCTCGCCGCCGCGACCTACCGTCGCCGCCTGCACGTCCCGCGCCGCGACCTAGCGTCGCCGCCTGCACGCCCCGCCGCCGCGACTTCGCGTCGCCGCCTGCACGCCCCACCCCCGCGACCTAAAGCCGCCGCCTGCACGTCCCGCCTCCGCGACCTCACGTCGCGCCTCCGCATCCCGCCGCCGCGACCTGCTCGGCGCCCCCTGCCCGTCCCACCGCCGCGATTTCACCTCGTCGCCTCCCCCCGCCGCCGCTCCCGCAATTTCCGCCGCCACGACTGCACCGCCAGCCGCCCGCATCCCCGCCGCCGCGACCTCACCGTCGTCACCCGCGCTTCCCGCCGCGGTGCCTCCTTGTCCCCGCCTGCCCACACCGCCCCCTGCGGATTTTGCCGCCGCGGCAGCCGCTTCTACAGCAGCAGCCGCGACCGTGGCAGCAACAGCCCCACCCACAGCTGCAACTGCTTCCCTCCTCTCTCTCCCATCCCTCCCCCTTTCCTCCTCCTCTCTCTCCTCTCCCACGCAGCAGCAGCCGGGTCAGCTCAGCAGGCGCACCAGCAGCAACGACAACAGCAGCGGCAGCAGCGGCAGCAGCGACAGCAGCGGCGGCATCGGCAGCAGCGGCAGCAGCGGCAGCGGCGGCAGCAGCGGCAGCAGCGGCAGCATCGGCAGCAGCGGCAGCAGCGGCAGCAGCGGCAGCAGCGGCAGCAGCAGCGGCAGCAGTGGCAGCATCGGCAGCAGCGGCAGCAGCGGCAGCAGCGGCAGCATCGGCAGTAGCGGCGGCAGCAGCAGCAGCGGCAGTAGCGGCAGCGGCAGCGGCAGTGGCAGCAGCAGCAGCAGCAGCCGGAGGAGTGCGCCTGCCTCAGCCGCAGCACCTCCCCCCCCCCCCCCCCCCCCTCCCTCCCCCTTGGCCGCCGCGGGTCCACCCGCCGTCGCCCTCACCCTTGACCGCCGCGGGTCCACCCGCCGCCGTCCCCCTCGTGGCCGCCGCGGGTCCACCCGCCGTCGCCCCTCATGGCTACCAACCCTCCTGCCCCCCTCCCTCCTCCCATCGACGCCTCTTCCGTCGACAAACTCCAGCTAGCCGCGGACCGCTCGGCTGTCAATTGGCACTCTTTCGTCGGGAGCATCCGCCGTATCCTCCAGGACGCCTTCGTCGGACCTTACTGCGTCCTCGACGTCCTCCTCCGCCGCCCGCACGCTCTTCAGCCCACGGCACCCGTTCACCCCGGTGAAACCCCTCCTCCCTCCATTCCCCCTGGCCCTCCTCCTCCTGAACCTACCTTGGTGATCACCGCTACTCCAGAACTCCAGGAGGCCGCTGATGCCACCTTCCTCCACGAACGCCGCGAGTACCTCATCCGCAAGGCGGAGCATGAAGTTGCGGTGCATCATCACGACTTTGCAACAGCGGAACGTGCCACTCGCCTGGCGTTACTTGATGAGTATAACACGGCCATGGCGGACTACCTCCCCAAGAGCATCGCATGGGCCACCGCTGACAACCGCGCATGCACCATCCTCCTCGGCGCACTCCCCGACGCCCTCATGCGCCGTTTTCAAGCTCGCGAGATGCGCGCCTCCCTCATTTGGGCCGAGCTCCAGGCGATGTTTGAGCGTCGCGACATCAGCTCGGTTGGCGTCCTGTTCCAGGAGTACTTCTCCATCACCCTCGCTACGTGTGACGGCGCAGTTGACTATGTGGGGCGCATGCAAGAGGTCGCTGATCGCCTCGCCGCACGCCAAGCTGCCCTCCCCGAACCACTACAAATCCATCGCCTCCTCTACAACCTCACTCCGGACTACGAGTCCCGCCTCCATGCCTTCACTTAGGCAAACTCCATGGCTGGCCTCAACGACGTGGTCCAGTGGATCATTGACACAGAGGTCAAGCTCCGCACCCCCATTGTCAACCTCACCACCCCACAGTCCTCCTCCTCCCCCTCCCTCAATACCACGCAGCCGCGCAACCAGGGTGGTCGCAACGGCGGCAGTGGAGGACGTGGGGGGGGCGGCAGTGGCGGTGGCGGTCGGGGCGGTGGTGGTGGTGGTCGAGGTGGCCGTGGTGGTGGAGGTGGTAGTGTCACCCCTGGAGGTCTTGCTGGGGCTGGAGGTACTGTGAGCCGTGGAGGTCGCCCGGGCACTCTTCCGCCGTGCACCTATGTCCGCCGTCATGGCCCTCACGCCGGCACTCCCTGTGGTCAGACCAACCACCCCCCTGCCACATGCTTCAAGGCGCTTGATGACGCTTGGTTCGATCGTGGCAACACTGGCACCCCCCCTCGCTGGAACAGTGTCACCCCTCGTCCTTCCCTTGCTGAAGTCCAAACCCTCCCTTCCTTCCTCCCCGCTCACCTCCGCCAACTCACCCCTTCACCCCCTTCCCAACTGCAGCAGTTTCAGCAGCACCAGCAGCAGCAGCAGTACTTCTTACCCCAGCAGCAGCCGCAGTTCTTCCACCCCCAGCAGCAGTAGTTTCTCCAGCCGCAGCCGCCGCCGCAGCAGCAGTTCTTCCAGCAGCAGCAGCAGCCGCCGTAGCACCTTCCGCCGCAGTGGCAGCAGCAGCCGATGACCTTCGGCACCGCGGCCATGGCTGCGCATACCGCCCTCGCTCCCCCCCCCTGGGGCTCCCTCCCCTCTGCCCCCCCCAGTGTCACTGACTCTCAGGGCAGCTTCCTTGGGCATATTGCTACTGCACCTTCCGTCGCTTCCATGTATCCCTCTGCTATCAATGAAACGTCTTTCCAGTACCCCGTGTCACCTCCCTCCCCCTCCTCCCCCACCTTGGACTTTGTCCTTGATAGTGGGGCCACGGAAACTGCACTTAAGGACGCTGGCACCCTCACCCCCCTCCCACTTCCCACTCAAGTCCATGGCGCTGACTCCAGTTTTTCCATACCTTGCACTCACCTCTCCACTCTCCCTTGCTCCGCCTTCCCCTCTGGCAAAGTCACAGGTCTCCACATCCCTACCCTCCGCAACAACCTCCTCTCCCACCGTGAGCTCCAGGGTGTTGGGATTACCGCTCTTTACCCGGGCTTTGCTACCTAGTGTGATCTCTACCACACTGCCTCCGGTCGCTTCCTCCTCCGCATTCCCCTCTGCCCTCGCACTCGCCTTTATACGCTCCGCACACCCCGCCCATCATTTTGCCATGTCACCACGCGTGCTGGCACTTCCACCGGTCCGCCTCCCCCTCTTCCTCCTCATACCCCTCCTCCTCAGTTACCCTTCCCCCCCACTCCACCTTCCCCCTCTCCCTCCCCCACCTCCTCCCTCACTCCATCTCCCTCCTCCTCTACTGTCCTCTCTCACCCTGCCGTTCTTCTGCATCACCGTCTCGGTCAACCCAACTTCGCCGCACTTCGCACCACCATCGCCTCTCGCCTCCTCAACAGCCTTCCTCCCACCTTACCCCCCCTCCCCTCCTCCCCTGCTCCCCCCTGCCCCTCCTGCATCCATGGCAAGCTCAAACAGTCACCCCATCCCAGTCATCCCACCTTCGCAGCCGCACCCATTGACCTTGTTCACATGGATCTCTGGGGCCCCTATCCCATCCGCTCCCGTCAGGGGCACAGGTACATGCTCGTCCTCATTGACGACCACAGCCGGTACTCCACCACCTTCTTTCTTCATACGAAAGACCAGGTGCCGGCCGTGGTCATCAACTGGGCTGAGCTGTGCCGCACTCACTTCAAACGCCCCATCGGCCGCCTTCACTCTGATGGTGGGGGTGAGTTCATTAATCACACACTCTCCACCTACTGCAAAACGTACGGCATTCAGCAAACCTCCACCCTCCCCCACTCCCCTCAGCAAAATGGCATCGCTGAGAGTCGCATTCGCGAGATCACCAAGATCGCTCGCTGTCTCATTGCTCACGCCTCCACCCCTCCCTCCCTCTGGAGCTATGCCCTCCTTCATGCCGCCCTCCTCCTCAATCTTCGCTCCCACCCTCAGCATCCCTCCTCCTCCCCCACAGAACTCTGGTCCAAGGCCAAGCCTGACGCCGCCGGCCTTCGTGTTTGGGGCTGCAAGGCGTTCGTCCTCATTCCACCGGCCAACCGCTCCCGCGCTGCTGGCAAGCTCGCCCCTCGCGCTCTGGAGTGCGTCTACCTGGGGCACAATCACGATTCCCCAGGCTACCTACTCCTCCACCCTCCCACCAATCGCCTCATCCGCAGCATTGACGTCGTCTTCGACGAATCCACTCCCTACTACTCCACTCCTCCTCCAGACCCTCTCCCCCCTCCCACTCGTCCCCTCGCTTGGACCGACACCGTCCTCCCGCCCCTTCTTCCTCCAGCCCCTCTCCTCCCACCCGTCGCCGCCCCACTCCCGCCCTCCTCCTCCGCCGACGTCTACGACCCTGCCGCACCCGCCTCCCCCGCTCACTCGGCCGCACCCCCCCCCCCCTCTCCCTCCTCTTCTCACTCTCCCTCCTTCCAGCAGCCGGATCAGCAGCAGCAGCAGCAGCAGCAGCCGGGGCAGCAGCAGCAGCAGCAGCAGCAGCAGCAGCAACCGGGACAGCAGCGGCAGCAGCAGCCGCAGCAGACACCGCAGCAACAGGGGCAGCAGCTTCAGCAGCACCGGCAGCAGCAGCAGCGCCGTGCCACTTCCCGCACCTCCCCCTTCCTCCTCCCTTACATCCATACCCGCTCTGTGGACAAAATCCTTGGGGCTCCTCCCCCTGCCTCCATTCAGCTCATTGAGGACTCCCATGAGGAGTTTCTCAACATTCGGGCACACACTCCGTTCCTTGCCTCCCTCTACCTTGACTTTCTGGGCTTTCCCATCCTTGGCGCCACCACCACCCCCACCATCTTCACTCCCTCCACCTTCCAGGAAGCCATCACCTGCCCTGACGCGGATAAATGGATAGCGGCGATCTTCCTGGAGTGTGAGGCTTTCATTCGCAACGACTCCTTTGTCGACGTCCCCCTCCCAGCCGGCGCCAACCTCGTTGACGGCAAATGGGTCTTTCGGGTGAAGCAGCTGCCGGGCGAGGACCCGGTGTACAAGGCACGCTACTGCGCAAAGGGGTTCACGCAGACTTGGGCGGAGGACTACTGGTTCACCTACGCCCCCACCGCCAAACCACCCACCCTTCGCGCCGCCCTCGACATTGGCGCACGTCACAACATGGAGATCGATTCCATGGACGTCTCCAATGCGTTCCTGCAGGGCGACCTGCACGAGCGCATTTTCCTCTGGCGACCCCCCGAGTTCCACGCAGCCTTCCCTGAGAACACTGTCTGGCAGCTGCGTCGCCCTGTCTACGGCTTGAAGCAGGCACCGGGTGAGTGGCATGCGAAGCTGGCTGCCACCTTAGGGTCTCTCGGCTTCTCTGCTTCCCACTCCGACGCCAGCCTCTTCCTCCGCTCCTCCCCCCGCCGCTTCTTCATTCTGGTATATGTGGACGACATGATCCTACTCTCTGACACCAGGGCCGACATGGAGCAGATGAAGCTGTCCCTGCAGCAGCGCCTCAAGTGCAAAGACCTTGGCGCCCTCACTCACTACCTAGGCATGGCCATCACTCGCAACCGCTCTGCTCGCACCATCACCCTCTCACAGTCCCACTACATCGGCCAGGTATTGGAGAAGTTCGACATGGCGCAGGCCAAGCCTGTCTCCACCCCCCTCCCATTCGGCCACCAACTCGCTCCACCAACCTCCCCCACCTCCTCCCCCCACCCCTACGCCGAGCTCGTCGGGTCCCTGATGTACGCGATGATGTGCACCCGCCCCGACCTCGCCTACCCCATCAGCGTGCTCGCTCGCTTTGTCGGCACCGGTCGTCACACAGAGGAGCACTGGAAAGCTGCCAAGCGGGTCCTCCGCTACCTTAGCGGGACCAAGGACCTTGCCCTCACCCTTGGCGGCCCTTCCCCTCCTCTTCTCTCGGGTTTCAGTGACTCCTCTTGGGCTGACACGCAGCCGGACCGCCGCTCCTCCCAGGGCTACGGCTTCACCCTTGGCAGCGGCCTCATCAGCTGGCGCTCCACCCGCTCCTCCGCCATCTCTCTCTCCACCTGCGAGGCCGAGCTCTACGCTGGCACCATGGCCGCCCAGGAATCACGCTGACTCTGCTTCCTTCTTGCAGAGCTTGGCGCCCCCCAGACGTGCCCCACTCTCTGGTGCGACAATGCTAGCACCATCCATCTCACTCAGGACCCCGTCTATCACGCCCGCTCTAAGCACATCGAGCTCCGCTACTTTTTGTTCGCGAGCTTGTCCAGAAGGGCCTTCTTGCCGTTCGCAAGATTGCGACCAAGGCCAACTTGGCTGACATCTTCACTAAGGCCCTCCTTCGCCCTGCACACTCTGCCTTCCTCCGCCTCGTTGGCCTCGCTCGCCCGGGCGCCCCTTGATTCAGGGGTTGTTCTCTTGTGTTAGCATGCTAAGGGGTTGTGTTAAAATATATCTTGTGTAGCATGCCAACACATGTGACTGTACACCAATTGTGGTGTACAGTTGGGTTGGGACTACACCCAACTTTGGGTGTAGTCTTGTACTTTGGGGTGCCAATCCACCCAATTGTGGTGGAGCCCCCAAATGCAACCCACTTGACTTATGGGTGCCTCACTTCCACAAGTGAGGTCACCTCAAGCCAAGTGGGCTTAGGGTTGCCTCACTTCTACAAAGTGTGGGCAACCCAACCCACTTGACCTATGGTAGCCTCACTCCCCCAAGTGAGGTCAACCCAACCTATGGTCACCTTCACCCTTCTCTTCCAAGCCTCCCTTCCAACTATGTATGCTAGGTTTCTCCTCTAATCAAGTGACTTGTTCAATCTATAATCTTCACAGCCTCTCCCCTGTTGCTGCCAGTCTCAACAGACAGTCGTAAACCCCCCCTGCTGCCGCCTCCCTCTCTGCTGTATCCCTCATCACAATGTAAAGAAATGACTGAATGCGAATATATATAATAATGCATAATGGTGGTGGTAAAGCATCATTGTACCCCACGTCCACCAGGCACAGCCCAGCAGCAGGGGCAGGGGGGGCAGTGGACCGCCTCTCCCCTGTTGCTGCTAGTCTCAGCAATTATCAACAGTTATAGCGTATCTCATTATAGCGGAGGTGGTAAAGCGTCACTGTACCCCACGTCCACCAGGCACAGCCCAGCAGCAGGCGCAGGGGGGGCAGTGGATCGCCTCTCCCCTGTTGTTGCCAGTCTCAACAGACAGTCGTAACCTCCCCCTGCCGCTGCCTCCCTCACTGCTGTTGCCACCAGCACTCGCACCATCTGGCAGGAAGGAAAAGATAGAAGAGGTGAGAAGAGGGGTGAAGTGCAGTAAGTATGGGTGGGAACACATCGGAAGACAGCAAAGCTGGGAGGCAGGCAGTTGTCACCTCCCCCAGCTGCTGCCTCCCTCACTGCTGTAGCGACCAGCACTCGCACCATCTGATGGGTTGGGAAGCATAGGAACAAGGTCAGCACAGGAACGTGTTATCCGACGAAATAATGCAGCGACTTTTTACTATATGATATGTTTATATAATCAATTTGATGCTGATAAGGCTTCAAGGAGAGCATCCAGATAATTTTGTTCTTTTGTGCGAATCATCGCTGCACAGAACACGTACCCGTCTCAGGAATCTGTCTCCCACTAATTCCACACAGAGCACCCGCACGCAAGCCCCTGCTGATGCTGCTGTTGATGCTGCTGTTCGTTTCAATTCCCCTGCGTCTCCTACTGCTCCTGTTGCCCTTATGAATGCTTCTCCCGTCACACCAGCTAGCTCTGCAGCTACAGGTAAGCGCGCCTCAAAGGCTCTTGCTCGCAAGATGTTGCACACTGTAGCGGATCCACTGTTAAAGGGGACAATGAGGTAATACAGCACACAAGGAGCAACAACACCGGGGGAGCCATGGTTTTCTTGTGGGTAGGATAGACCTCAGGAGCACACATGAGACATACTTCGAGAATGGACAGAAACGTGTGCTCAAACCCTTTTTACTCCACCTCACGTCCCTTCCCCACCACCTCTCCCCCACCTCTTCTCACCTGCCCCCCTTCCCACCTGCCCTTCTCACCTGCCGCTGCCAGCACCAGTGTCATGGGCGGAAACGCGCGGAAGCAGGTGGGGCCATGGGCACGAGCACGAGGGAGAAATTGTCCCGCCACACCCCTCATACTCCACCCACCTCCCATGATCACCTCACTTCCCCTCCTCACCTGCCTCTGCCAGCAGCAGTGTTGCGCGCAAAAGCGCGGAAGCACGTGGGGTGGGGCCATGGGCGCGGGTATGGGTCTCAAGAGCATGCAGGGGAATGTGCGCCCACAACCACCACCCCTCCCTCCTCACCTGCCCTCTCTCACCTGCCTCTGCCAGCAGCAGTGTCGCGGACAAACGCGCGGAAGCACGTGGGGCCATGGGCGCGGGTATGAATCTCCAGAGCATGCAGGGGAATGTGGCACTGGATGGTCGCTGGGTGCTTCACTCACTGCTCACACAAGCATCCTCGCAACCCACCTCCCATCACCTCCCCTTCCTCACTCACACATCATCCATCTCCTCACCTGCCCTCCTCGCCTGCCCTCCTCACCTGCCCTCCTCACCTGCCCTCCTCACCTGCCCTCCTCACCTGCCCTCCTCACCTGCCCTCCTCACCTGCCTCTGCCCTCCTCACCTGCCTCTGCCCTCCTCACCTGCCCTCCTCACCTGCCTCTGCCCTCCTCACCTGCCCTCCTCACCTGCCTCTGCCCTCCTCACCTGCCCTCCTCACCTGCCTCTGCCCTCCTCACCTGCCCTCCTCACCTGCCTCTGCATCACCTCCCATAACCTCCTCTCACACCATCCCCTCCTAACATTCCCCTCCTCACACATCATCCATCTCCTCACCTGCCTCTGCCAGCAGCAGTGTCACGCGCAAATGCGCGGAAGCAGGCGGGGCAATGGGTGCGTGTATGGCTCTCCAGAAGAACATGCAGAGGAATGTGGCACTGGATAGTCTCAGTCTCTGGATGCTTCACTGCATACACACACGCCCTCTCAACCCACCTCCCATCCCCTCCTCACATTTCACCTCTCCTTCCTTACACACCCACCTTCCCCATCTCACCTGCCTCTGCCAGCAGCAGTGTCGCGGGCAAACGCTCGGAAGCACGTGGGGCCATGGGCGCGGGTATGGGTCTCCAGAGCATGCAGTAAGGCGTGCACTCGTGGCACATGCATGCACGCTGGCTTGAACGGTGCAGCTAGTGCCCCCTCCCGTGTCTCACCTGCCTCTGCCAGCAGCAGTGTCACGTGCAAAAGCGTGGAACGCTGTCTGGCTTGAATGGTGCGGCTCCTTCCCCCTCCCGTGTCTCACCTGCCTCTGCCAGCAGCAGTGTCGCGGGCGAACGCTCGGAAGCAGGTGGGGCCATGGGCGCGGGTATGGGTCTCGAGAGCATGCAGCAAGGCGTGCACTCGAGGCACATGCATGCACGCTGGCTTGAATGGTGCGGCTCCTTCCCCCTCCCGTGTCTCACCTGCCTCTGCCAGCAGCAGTGTCGCGGGCGAACGCGCGAAAGCAGGTGTATGGGTCTCCAGAGCAAACAAAAAAATGTGGCACTGGATGATTTACTGGATGGGTCACTGCACACACCCACCCACCCGTGTCTCACCTGCCTCTACCAGCAGCAGTGTCGCGGGCGAACGCTCGGAAGCACGTGGGGCCATGGGCGCGGGTATGGGACTCCAAAGCATGCAGTAAGGCGTGCACTCGTGGCACATGCATGCACGCTGGCTTGAACGGTGCAGCTAGTGCCCCCTCCAGTGTCTCACCTGCCTCTGCCAGCAGCAGTGTCACGTGCAAAAGCGTGGAACGCTGTCTGGCTTGAATGGTGCGGCTCCTTCCCCCTCCCGTGTCTCACCTGCCTCTACCAGCAGCAGTGTCGCGGGCGAACGCGCGGAAGCAGGTGGGGCCATGGGCGCGGGTATGGGTCTCCAGAGCATGCAGTAAGGCGTGCACTCGTGCCCCATGCATGCACGCTGGCTTGAACGGTGCAGCTCCGTTGCTGCTACCACTATGGCTGCTGCTGCTACTGCTGGTGGGGCCATGGGCGCGTGTATGGGTCTCGAGAGCATGCAGCAAGGCGTGCACTCGAGGCACATGCATGCACGCTGGCTTGAACGGTGCAGCTCCGTTGCTGCTACCACTATGGCTGCTGCTGCTACTGCTGGTGGGGCCATGGGCGCGGGTATGGGTCTCGAGAGCATGCAGCAAGGCGTGCACTCGAGGCACATGCATGCACGCTGGCTTGAACGGTGCGGCTCCATTGCCGCTGGGCAAGCTGCTGTCAATAAGGCTGCTGCTGCTGTGGTTGATGCTGCTGGTGCTGGTGCATGCTGCTCGAGGCACGTGCATGCACGCTGGCTTGAACAGTGCGGCTCCATTGCTGCTGGGCAAGCTGCTGTCAATATGTCTGCTGTTGCTGCTGCTGCTGCTGCCATGTCGACCGATACAGCAAGTCAGGCATTTAGTGCTCGCGAAGCAATAAGTTGCCTGAGGAACACGCGTATTGCTGCCATTCACATGCCCCCCCCTCAAATCATCGGCAGCAGCAGCAGCAGCAGCAGCAGCAGCACCGCCACCACTTTCATCCCCCGCACGCTGCACTCCCATCGTCTCTTGGGATGACCCAAACGGCGCTTCTCCCAAAGAAGGTTCTTCCGTGAATCTCGCATCGTAAGGGTCCGTAACAGCCACACATGCAGTCTTAACACGGGCACACGAATCGCATACACCCCCCGCAAGAATCCCCTGTCTTTCCTCCGCTTGTCCATTCTCCTCCCACCTTGCCACATCCCTTCCCTCACCATCACCACTCTCCTCCACTGTCCCTTGCTCCATACACGAAGGTGCGGCAAGAGGCAATCGCCAAGTAGTATTCTCAATCGCGCTCGCACTCTCCGTTTGTAAGACCTCTGAACCAAGAGGCAAGAAACGTGGACTACAGCCCGACCCTCCGTTTGAGTCAGCTATCCTCCCATTTAACACACTCCTGTCATCCGGTTGTAGGGGCTCCGAGCCAAGAGGCAAGGCACGGAAGCCACTCCGAGCCAAAAGGCAATCCGAACCTCTTTCAAGCTCTGATCTCCCTGTTCCATTCGGTCTTTGAACGCAGGCACACCGCCTTGTCGAGTCGGCACTGCACACCTCCCACTGCAGTGTGCCCAGCGCCGCTCCCGCCGTGTGGGAGGGGTGTGCAGCACATCCCTCCCATGGCAGCAGCGGCAGCAGGTAGAGGTATCGGCGCCAGCGAGCGGAGAATTGAGGGTGGAAGGATCGAGGAACCTGCCAGTGGCGTGACAAAAGAGTGGGGGGAGAGGAGGCGAGAGGGAGGAAAGTGGGTCTCGAGTTAGAAGAGCAGGAGAGCAACAGCAGCGGCAGCAGGTAAAGGTATCGGCGCCAGCGAGCTGAGAATTGTGGGTGGAAGGAGCAAGGGACCTGAAAGGAAGAGAGGGAAAGGGAGAGGGAGCAAGAGAGAGAGGAAGGATTGAGCGAGCGGGGCAGTAATAGTGCAGTTTTCCTCCCATTGCAGCAGCAGCAGGTAGAGATGTCTGCGCCAACGAGCGGAGAGTCACGGATGGAAGGAGCGAGGGACCTGCGGGTCACGGAGGGAAAGGGAGAGACATTGAGAACTGGGAAGAGTGGAGCAGGCAATGCAATCTGATGCAGCACACCCCTCCCACTGCAGCAGGGGTGTCATAGAGCCGAGAATTGCGGGGGGGAAGAGTGCCTGCTCTCTCAAAGTGAAGTACCTTGGAAATGCTGATAACTCTTAAACTGCCCTCTGTTGCTGCATCAACAGCTGCGCCAACTGCTGTGAGATCGAGAGGGTCCTTCCACGTGTCTGGTGTGGGCGGGGGGTAGTGGGAGATGGAGGAAGACAGGGAGTGAGGGGGGACTTATGATGTCCAGACTAGCCTCTCTCGCTGCAGCTACTGCTGTGAGATCCAGGGGGTCTTTCCACGTGTCTGATTGCAGGGGAGGGGTGAGGACGGGGAGTGGAGGGGAAGGGATGAGCGGGGAAAAGGGGGAGGGCTGATAGCACATGTTTGCATCAGCAGCTGCAGCTACCGCTGTGAGATCCAGGGGGTGCTTCCATGTGTCTGGTGGGGTTGGGAGAGAGGGAAGGGAGAGGAGGGGGCGGAAGAGAGGGAGCGAGGGAAACTGAGATGAAATCCCTGTGTTGATGCATCAACAGCTGCAGCCACTGTTGTGAGATCCAGGGGGTCCTTTCACGTGTCTGGCGGGGTGTGAGGGCGGGGAGGGGAGGGGAGAGGGGGGAAGGGGAGCCAGGGAGGGTGATAACACATGTCTGCATTGACAGCCGCAGTGACTGCTGTGAGATCCAAGGGGGTGCTTCCGCGTGTCTGGTGGGACAGGGAGGAAGAGAGAGTGGGAGAGAAAGGGCGGGAGAAAAGAGGGCAAGACCGCATGCTTTGACAGACAGAGAGGGAAAAAAGGGGCAAAGGAAACAAAAACGGGGAAAACATGCACGCATGGACATGCACACACAAACAGAGACAGCAATGCCATATAAGGAAGCAAAGGAGACTCACAGACAGAGAAGGAAGTGCCACTCACGGAAGGCACACACTTGCCCTGCTGCATGCACGCCCTTGTCCGTCCTTCCAGCCCACACAAGGCAGCGCTACTCACACACACAGACAGAGAAAGAAGTGCCACTCACGGAAGGCGCACACTTGCCCTGCTGCATGCACGCCCTTGTCCGTCCTTCCAGCCACCACCACTGCTGCCATTATAACCCCCAACCCTTCCTCCTTATCACACACAAAGAGCCCAACACAGCAAAGCTATCGAGGGATGATAGAGAAAGAGACTCACGGAAGGCGCACACTTGCCCTGCTGCATGCACCCCCTTGTCAGTCCTCCCTGCCACCACCACTGCTGCCCTTGTAACCTTCAGCCCACCCCCCTTGTCACACTCCCCCCTCAGAATCTCCAAGTCCCCATTCTCCTGCTCCTCCTCCCTTTGCTTCTCCTGCCCCTCCTCCATTCGCTTCTCCTGCCCCTCCTCCCTTTGCTCCTCCGGCCCCTCCTCCCCTGTCCGCTTCACCCCTCCCTTCTTCTCTCGTCGCTCCTTCCATGCCTTGCTGCCGCCCTGCCCCCTCGCCCTCCCCTTCTGCTTCTTTGGGTGGTGCTCGCAGAAAGGGGCCAGGGCGGATTCTAAAGTGCTGGTGGGGGCAGGGGCGAGGAGAGGGGGAAGGAGGGAGGGAGGAGTGATTTCTGAATGCAAAGTGCTGCCCTGCCCTCTCGCCGTCCCCTTCTGCTTCTTTGGGTGGTGCTCGCAGAAAGGGGCCAGGGCGGATTCTAGCGTGCTGGTTGTGGGTGGGGGGAAAGGGGTGGGAAAGGGGGGAAAGGGGTGGGAAATGGGGGAAAATTTCTCCTTCCATGCCTTGCTGCTGCCCTGCCCTCTCGCCCTCCCCTTCTCTTTTTTCTTTGGGTGGTGCTCGCAGAAAGGGGCCAGGGCGGATTCTAAAGTGCTGGTGGGGAGAGGGAGAGGGGGACAAAAAGCGGTTGGAGGAAGTGGGTAGATGGGGAAGGAGAAAGGGGTTTCAGCGCACATGTCTTCTCCCGTCTCTCCTTCCATTCATTCCCTCCTGCCTTCTGCTTCTTTGCATGGTGCTCGCAGAAAGGGGCCAGGGCGGATTCTAAAGTGCTGGTGGGAGGACGGTTGGGGTGGGAAATGGGGGCCAAGCCAATGGGGGACAGAGAAAAGTTGGAGAAAGGGGGAGGAGCCGGTATACCTCACAATCCCACCCACCCTCGACCCTGCAGGGTGTTTTTTAGAATTCTCAAAAACACCCTGCAGCATGTTGGAGAAAGGGGGAGGAGCCGGTATACCTCACAATCCCACCCTCAACCCTTCCGGTCTCGTGCTGCGAGTCCCCCAGTCGCACCCACCCTGCGCCCCTGCTCCCCCAAGCTTCCCTCATCCCACAGCCACACCATAACCCACCACACACCACTGGCTGAACGTTGCTGCAACCCTCCCAGCCCCACCCACCCTGCATCCTCCTGGTTTCGTGCTGTGGCCCTTCCAGTCCCACCCTGCGCCCCTGCTCCCCCAAGCTTCCCTCATCCCACAGCCACACCATAACCCACCACACACCACTGGCTGAACGTTGCTGCAACCCTCCCAGCCCCACCCACCCTGCATCCTCCTGGTTTCGTGCTGTGGCCCTTCCAGTCCCACCCTGCGCCCCTGCTCCCCCAAGCTTCCCTCATCCCACAGCCATACCATAACCCACCACATACCACTGGCTGAACGTTGCTGCGACACCACCAGCACCACACACCTCCCTCCGCCCCACCCTCCAATCTCCCTGTCTCGTGCTGCGACTCCTTTGATCAAATGGTGCTGAAATTGCAAAACGTCCCACCCTGTGCCTCTGTTACCCCCACCTGCCCTCATCCCACAGCCATACCATAACCCACCACACACCACCAGCTGAACGTTGCTGCAACCCTCCCAGTCCCACCCTTCCCCCCTGCTCCCTGCAAATGCATTCTTCCCACCACCACATGGTATCCTTCCATACACATCCGCACCGCACAGTACCACACCATACCAAACCCTCTGCACTATCACTGTTCCCTGCTGGCTCTGGTACCCGTAAACCCCCCCCCATCGTATGCCACATTTGCTAAGTGCCGCATAGCGCACCTGGTGACCCATCAAGTGCCCCCTCACACACCTCTGCACTGCACCCCACCGCACAGTACCCCACCACACACCTCTGCACCGTGACTGCTCCCTGCTGGCCCTGATACCCGTGGAAAGCCCCCCCATCGTATGCCACCACCACCTGCACCGTGCTGCGCCCCTCCCCTGCTCCCCCGAGCTGCCTTTTTCACACAACCACACACTACCACACCACACTGTATTCCACCACACAGCACCGCACCATACCATACCTCTGCACCTTGACTGCTCCCTGCTGGCTCTGGTACCCGTGGAACGCCCCTCCATCGTATGCCACCACCACCTGCACCGTGCTGCGCCCCTCCCACACTCCCCGTCCCTGTTCCCCTGCTCTCCCCAGCTGCATTCTTGGCACAAGCACACTGTATCCCACCACACAGCACCGCACACAAACGCACCATACCTCTGCACTGTCACGGCTCCCTGCTGGCTCTGATACCCATGGAACGCCCCTCCATAGTATGTCACCACCAGCTGCACCGTGCTGCGCCCCTCCCACTCTCACCCGACGCCCCTGCTCTCCCCAGCTGCTTTCTTAGCACAACCACACCATACCCCACCACACAGAACAACACAGCACCGCACAGTACTGCACAGCACCACACCATACCATACCTCTGCACCGTGACTTCTCCCTGCTGGCTCTGATACCCGTGGAATGCCCCTCCATCGTATGCCACCACCAACCGCACCGTGCTGCGCCCCTCCCACACTCCCCGTCCCTGTTCCCCTGCTCTCCCCAGCTGCATTCTTGGCACAAGCACACTGTATCCCACCACACAGCACCGCACACAAACGCACCATACCTCTGCACTGTCACGGCTCCCTGCTGGCTCTGATACCCATGGAACGCCCCTCCATAGTATGTCACCACCAGCTGCACCGTGCTGCGCCCCTCCCACTCTCACCCGACGCCCCTGCTCTCCCCAGCTGCTTTCTTAGCACAACCACACCATACCCCACCACACAGAACAACACAGCACCGCACAGTACTGCACAGCACCACACCATACCATACCTCTGCACCGTGACTTCTCCCTGCTGGCTCTGATACCCGTGGAATGCCCCTCCATCGTATGCCACCACCAACCGCACCGTGCTGCGCCCCTCCCACACTCCCCGTCCCTGTTCCCCTGCTCTCCCCAGCTGCATTCTTGGCACAAGCACACTGTATCCCACCACACAGCACCGCACACCAACGCACCATACCTCTGCACTGTCACGGCTCCCTGCTGGCTCTGATACCCATGGAACGCCCCTCCATAGTATGTCACCACCAGCTGCACCGTGCTGCGCCCCTCCCACTCTCACCCGTCGCCCCTGCTCTCCCCAGCTGCTTTCTTAGCACAACCACACCATACCCCACCACACAGAACAACACAGCACCGCACAGTACTGCACAGCACCACACCATACCATACCTCTGCACCGTGACTTCTCCCTGCTGGCTCTGATACCCGTGGAATGCCCCTCCATCGTATGCCACCACCAACCGCACCGTGCTGCGCCCCTCCCACACTCCCCGTCCCTGTTCCCCTGCTCTCCCCAGCTGCATTCTTGGCACAAGCAAACTGTATCCCACCACACAGCACCGCACACCAACGCACCATACCTCTGCACTGTCACGGCTCCCTGCTGGCTCTGATACCCATGGAACGCCCCTCCATAGTATGTCACCACCAGCTGCACCGTGCTGCGCCCCTCCCACTCTCACCCGTCGCCCCTGCTCTCCCCAGCTGCTTTCTTAGCACAACCACACCATACCCCACCACACAGAACAACACAGCACCGCACAGTACTGCACAGCACCACACCATACCATACCTCTGCACCGTGACTGCGCCCTGCTGGCTCTGGTATCCATGAAACGCCCCCCCATCGTATGCCACCACCAACCGCACCGTGCTGCGCCCCTCCATCCCGAACCTTCCCCCCCACCAGCTGCCCTCTTCCCACAAACGCATGGGTCTCCCACTCACACCACCGCACACCATTGCACCATACCTCTGCACAGTCACTGCGCCCTGCTGGCTCTGATACCCATGGAACGCCCCTCCATCGTATGCCACCACCAGCCGCACCGTGCTGCGCCCCTCCCATGCTCCATCTCTGTTCCCTTGAGATTCCACAACTACAAGGTAACCCACCACACATCACTGCACAGTACCGCACTGCACCATACCTCTGCACAGTCACTGCTCCCTGTTGGCTCTGGTACCCGTGGAACGCCCCTCCATTGAATGCCACCACCAGCTGCACCTGGTTACCCATCAGGTACCCCCTCACACACCTGTTCACCGCACCCCACCGCACAGCACCCCGCCACACACCTCTGCACAGTCACGGCTCCCTGCTGGCTCTGATACCCGTGGAACGCCCCTCCATCGTATGCCACTACCAGCTGCACCGTGCTGCGCCCCTCCCACGCTCCATCTCTGTTCCTTCGAGATGCTTTCTTCCCACCACCAGCACCTGCAGCTTCAGGAGCAGCAGCTGTAGCAGCCCCAGAATCAGTACTGGCAGTTTCAGGAGAAGCAGCAGCAGCCACACTTTGAATATTAGCTGAGCTCTTCTTATCAGCTGCTATCCTCTCATCATCAGCAGGAGGCATCCTGCTGGACAAATCGGAGAGCGCCACGTGTCCAGCTGCCAGGCTGGCATAGAACGCGTGCACTGCTTGCCACGGGCGGTTCTGCAGATGAGCCGTGCACAACCTGAAGAAAATCAAAAAAAGGGGGGAGGGGGTGGGAGGGGTTGGGAGGGCGTGCACTGCTTGCCACGGGCGGTTCTGCAGGTGAGCCGTGCACAGCCTGAAGAAAACAAAAAGGGGGGGGAGGGGCGGGAGGGGGTGGGAGTGGGTGGAGGTGCGGTGGCGGGAAGGGTGAGGGGAAGGCGGAGAGGGGAGAGGGAGGAACATAAACACTGTCCCATGGTTCTGCAGGTGAGCAGCGCAAGGCCTGAGGGGTATAAGGGGAGTGGGAGAGGGGAGGGAGGAAGGGGGCGGGGTTGGGGGAGCGGTGTGGGGGAGCGGTGTGGGGGAGCGGTGTGGGGGAGCGGTGTGGGGGAGAACCCTAAACACTGTGTCTCTTGGTTCCGCAGGTGAGTCTCACAGACCCAAACGAACGGAGAGAGAGAGGGAGACGGGGGGGGGAGGGGCAGTGAGGTGATTTTAGAGGCGCCTCAAAAAGAACCTCAAACACTGTCACTTGGCTCCGCAGGTGAGCCTCACAGACCGAAACGAACGGAGAGAGAGAGAGAGGGAGACGGGGGGAGGAGGGGCAGTGAGGTGATTTTAGAGGCGCCTCAAAAAGAACCTCAAACACTGTCACTTGGCTCCGCAGGTGAGCCTCACAGACCGAAACGAACGGAGAGAGAGAGAGGGAGACGGGGGGAGGAGGGGCAGTGAGGTGATTTTAGAGGCGCCTCAAAAAGAACCTCAAACACTGTCACTTGGCTCCGCAGGTGAGCCTCACAGACCGAAACGAACGGAGAGAGAGAGAGGCAGACGGGGGGAGGAGGGGCCGGCGGGGGTGGGTGGCCGGAGAAAAGGTGGGGAGGTGAAGGGGACGAGTGCAAGTGCAAGGAGAATGGGGGGAACCCTTAGCAGCGGCGCAGTGGCGAGGGGGGCGGGCGCACCTGGAGGACCAGCGGAAAGGCGCAAGCTCGTCCGTGTGGCGGAGCATTTCCTTCCCCCGGCTGTCATTCCACAATTCGTACGCGCAGGATGCGATGCGCGCGGGGGGGACATCCGCGGAATCTACAGTAGGCGCAAGCGGAACGTCCGCGGACGACAACATTTCCAAAGCCAGCGTGGCAATGTGACATGGCGGTCTCAGAAAAAAGGTCACCGCTGCAAACTGGGACAGTTCCTAACAAAGCGTGAACTTCGAAAATTACGAGAGAAGCTGGCTTCAACGCACCACGTGCGGTAAAGCACGATAGCTATCGGTGGTCCTAACGCTCCACGTGCGGTAAAGCACGGTACCTATCGGTGGCCCCGACGCTCCACGTGCGGTAAAGCACGATACCTATCGGTGGCCCCAAGGCTGCACGTGCGGTAAAGCACGGTACCTAACGGTGGCCCCAACACTCCACGTGCGGTAAAGCACGGTACCTATCGGTGGTCCCAAGGCTCCACGTGCGGTAAAGCACGATACCTATTGGTGGTCCCAACGCTCCACGTGCGGTAAAGCACGGTACCTGTCGGTCTCTTGCAAAAACGCTTGACTTGAAGGGAACGTTCGTTTCCTCTTTGGTCGTGGTCACACAAGCCAATGTGAGGTGTCACAAGAAACTTCATGTGACATGACCGTTGTACTGCAAATGACCCGAGGTGCTATATATGTTGAAGCGTATACTGGATGTGTGCTACAAACTTCCGTGAGTATGGGGGTTCAGAATTTGTAGACTGGGTGGGTGGGTGATATTGCTGATCAGGGCAGATAGCTTACAGCAATGTCAGGTACAGCATAACAAACGTACCCTGAGACATGCTTTGCATGATTGGCTAGATGCATCTTATTTGGAATTAGGTGCTTTTCCTTTCAGCCCATACAGACCTGTATACACCATATAACGCTCATCTTTAGAGCACCCAAACTAAGGAACACAGGTATTGTACTATTATCAACGACGTATTTAACATGCCAATGCATGCACCTGTCACATGCAGAAACAGGGAAGAGGGCGTAAACAGGAGTAGGTGGGAGAATGTGAAGGAACAGTATCCAACGAGCTACACGTGATGAATTATTGACACAAATTACCGTGGACACAATGCCATACAGCGGAAGTTGATCATACCTTCGAAACCGCTGTGCTGGTTCTAAGGGTACATTCCGCGCTGGACATGTCCCAATCGAAAGTGCCTCAATCGTTTCTACCGCACTGCATCGTATTACACCAAATTGCACCCTAGTTTCGAAATTTTCGCGTCTCTGGTTTAGTTCGGTTCGGAGCGGTACACTCGATTGGGACACATCGATTGGGACAGTGTCCACAGCGGAATGTACCCTAAGGGTTGAGAGCATAAGTGTCATAGAGGTATTCGACAATAGCTGCACTCTCAAACATCTTCACTCCTGTGTTAGGGTCCTCGAGATAGGGGGCCTGGTAGGAGTCAAACGCGGGGAGCAAAGAGAGAACCATAATAAAGGGTGAATCAGGAAAAAGAAAAGTATGTCATGGCTGTGTGTTTTACTGAACAATCTGGCACTCGGGAATAGCTGCACTTTCGAACTTCTTCTATTCTCAGTTAACTCTCTTCTTGAGTGACTCGCTCGCCTGGCCGCAGTTCGATTACGGCAGTGGCAAAAATACCCGAGGAGTAACAGTGCCTGCTTACCTGGAATCGGCCGATTCTCTTCTTCAGAGCCTCCCGCTTGGGACTGCCTCTCGGCGTGCTGTGTGGGTGGGGGCATGTGGCAATAATTGATTATTGAGAACTCTGAAAACCAGGGGAAGTGGGTCCTCAGGAAGACTCAAAGGTGCATCTGAACTGACGTCTAAGGCTAGAGATAAACGGTGAAGCTAACAATCATAATTAGCATTTTGAGGCGGATGAGGATGACGATAGAGTGGGGGCGAGTGGTGCCTTACGCGTGGTAGACGTGGGGCAGCTCCAGCTCACACAGGGCTTCGCGTACCAGCTTGCAGAAGGGGGACGGCTGCGGGGATGGCAGGGTGGGCAGGGAGTGGAGCAGTGGGGAACACATGAGTGGGGAAGGCGCAAGGTGGATGTGGGGTAGCTCCAGCTCACAGAGGGCTTCTCGCACGAGCTTGCAGAAAGGGGACGGCTGCAGGGATGGCCGGGAGTAGGGCAAGAGAAAAGGTACAGAAAAGCATGGGTGGAGGTGAGGTGCTGCACGCGTGGTAGACGTGGGGTAGCTCCAGCTCGCACAGGGCTTCTCGCACGAGCTTGCAGAAAGGAGAGGGGTAAAAGGAGGGGAGTGAGGGCAGGGAGTAGGGCAAGGGGAAAGGTACAGAGTGCATGAGGGGAGGTGAGGTGAGGTGGCGCGAGTGGGGAGGCAGCTCCAGCTCGCACAGGGCATTCTGCACCAGCTTGGAGAAGGGAAAGAGCAAGAAGAACCAACCAAACGTGTGTAGAGTTGTATGCTCACGCACGCACATGGGGTAGCTCACGCACTAATGCCCCCAACTCTCAGCTCACGCACAAGAGGCCCCCTGGGTTACCAACGCACCTCATATGCCCTGCCCAGCATTCTTGCCGGCATCCTTGCACATGGCGCAGCAGGTAAACATACCGACCTGGTGTGAGTGAACCAACACACTCCACTCATGCGCACATGGCCCCCTGTTCTCAGCTTACCTCATACGCCCACACTTCCAGTGGCTGGGGCCGCATCTTAGCTGGCACATAGCAAAGCAGTCAGAGCATCCATAGACTGAAGCATCAGAGACTCATCAGACCAATCGCATACAGCAAATGCCATGCACACATCTCACCTCATACGCCCACACTTCCAAAGATGCTGAGGAGGCATCTTCGCTGGCACATAGCAAAGCAGCCAGAGCATACCAACCAACCCTATAGGAACCATCGCAGACACAGACTACTCACGCACACATTCCCCCTGGCTTTCAGCTCACCTCATACGCCCACACTTCCAGTGGCTGGGGCGGCATCTTTGCAGGCACATAGCGGCTTCCCTGCACAGTAGAATGGAAGGCAGGCGGATACAGAAGAATTAGATGGGGATGGTTGTGGCGGTATCTGGTAGGAGTTCACTCATAGAATGGCTAATCTGATGGCTAATTGGGACTTGGTAAGGTCATAGGATGGCTACTTTCGAAAGAGGATGTTGCAAGAGTGAGCCATTGAGAGAGACATACAAACATGCCTTATCAGATAAATCAATTCTCGGGTCAATTACAGAGCAACTGGAGAAGGAAAGAGAAAATATTTGGACGATTATTATGTCGGAAATGACATGAATCTAGAAGGCTCGTGAACCATGACGGGAATGTGAAGCACGTACATTCATCGCACGGCCGATGCCTGCTAGGCCTGCAGTGATGGACTGGCTTTGAGTCAAAACTTGTCTCGGTGTAAATGGCGCATGGATGGTTAACAACGGGAATGTGAAGCACGTACCTTCATCGCACGGCCGATGCCTGCTAGGCCTGCAGTGATGGACTGGAAAGGTGGGTGGGAAAGGGATGGGATGAGAAAGGGGGTGAGTGAGAATGGGTTTGAGAATGGGGTTGAGAATGGGGTTGAGAATGGGGGTAGAAAAATGGGTGAGAAAGGGATGGAGAGTGCAGAAACAAGGCAAAGCATGCCTAGTTTGCGTACCATGCATTGTAATGCACTAAAGTTAGTGCAGTCAATGAAACACAATGTTAGAACAGCACCATTGTTAGAGAATAATCACTGAGTCAATGACATTCAGTGTGTTCGGCTCCACCTGTGTTTGAGGTCCTGTGTTTGAGGTTCCGTGTGTAATGTTATGTGTTTCACACATTCGTGGTACGCATAATCAGCCACTCACGGTGATGGGGCCGAGTTGAAGCATGAGAGGGATGGACCCATTGCCTGCAGGATGAGTGAGGCGGTAGTGGGGTTGCGGGGTGGGGGAAGAGGGGGCAAATTGAACGTTTCAGACGGGGTTGTTACCTTCCTCAACAAATGAAAAAACAGTTGAAATCCATAACAAGAAGAAGTGACCACTCCTAGAGATGAGATGCCACAGGGGGGTGCACTCGTAGTTTTGAGTCGACTCAATTGCTGCTCGTGGTTAACGAATTCCCAGAGATAAGAAGCCTGTTATCAGGAATGCTCCTACTCAGCTTCAATTCACATACCGTAAGTTTTGGCGAGGTACTTGATGATTTCATCTGACTCGTACATGCTCACTCCCATGTTGGGATCCACCTGTACTTGGTGCGAACAAGCAGGGCGATTGGTGGAGAGAGATGGAGAAAGCAGGAGAATGGAGACAACAAAAAGGAGGTACTTGATGATTTCATCCGACTCGTACATGCTCACTCCCGTGTTGGGATCCACCTGCAATGGGTGCACGTGGGGAGATTGGCGTGAGAAGCGAGTACAAGGAGTCAAGAGGAAAGAGAAGGAACAGACAATTTCCAGGAACAGAGACCCACGGTTTCAAAAAAAGGGAGCCAACCAAAGCACATCACGTGTTTGACATCCTCTACCTTAGCATCCAAACTCATAGCGAAGAAGGGCAGCAGTATTGTTGAAAGCTTAAGCAGCAGGATCGACAATGAAAAAACAAGTGAAAAAAATAGATCTAGAGAAAACGCCTTGAAGAATGTATGACATCCTTTACCTTGTAATACAAATCAGTCGGAATGCAAAGGCCGGAAGTATACAGAGTGCGATAATCAGACATGTGACGTACCATGTAGGGGAACTGCCTCTTGCCGCCCATCTCAATGGCCTTGGGTCGATACGTGGGGCCATTGACAGGGCATGGGTAGAAGAGCACGTCTAGGTCCAGCACTGATACCATCTCACGGACCTGCGTGTATCAAAAACAGGGAAAGGGGAAAGGGCATGCAAGGAAAGGGCGTCAATGCATTGACGGGGCGCGGGTAGAAGAGCAGCGCATGTCTAGATCCAATACTGACACCATCTCACAGACCTGGCGGGCAGGGAGGGGTAAGGGAGGTGAGGAAAATACAGAATGGTCTTGGGCCCAACTGACGGGGCACGGGTAGAAGAGCACGTCTAGATCCAATACTGATACCATCTCACGGACCTGGAAGATTAGGGAAGGGTAAGGGAGGTATTGAGATCACGGATTAGCGTTGGTTTGGCTGGTATGTGGGGCCAGTGACGGGGGCCCTGTGCACGGGTAGAAGAGCACGTCTAGATCCAATACTGATACCATCTCACGGACCTGAGAGGTTAGGGAAACGGAGGGGAGAAACAGAGACGGAGAAGAGAGAGGAATGGCCCTGGCCTTGGACCATCATGTGGGTCCGTTCGAATGGGGCACGGGTAGAAGAGCTCGTCTAGGTCCAGCATAGATAAGACACCATCCCACATACCTGCGAGGTTAGGTAGTGGCGTGGGGGGGTTCGGGGCCAGGTAGGCAGGAAGAAGGGCAGGCAGGCAGGAGCAGGTAGGCAAGAAGGCAGGGCAGGAAGGGGCAGGTGAGCACGTAGGATGGGGACAGGAATACAGGAGAGTGGGCAAGAGGGGGGAAGCAGGGGCAGGTGATGTGTACCTTGCGGCAGAACGGACAGCTGTAGCAGCAGGAGCGCATGCGGGCGAGAATGAGAAGTACGGTACGACGGCGAGGTGAGGGCGTTGTTCATTGAAGAGAGAGGACGAGCAGCCGAGGGAGCGAGCAGCATGAGAGTGGGACGTGTCGGCAGCGCGTGGGGGGGGAAGGGGAGAATGGGTTTCAGAGGGATCAAAGGAAGGCATGAGCGAGAGACATGAGAGCGGACGCGTCAACTACAATAATCAAAGGATACAGACAAACATTAATTAAAATATCAATTAAGAACCCACGGACGGAAGGGCATGAGCGATGAAGGAACTAAGCAACAGGTGAAGGAGGGGATGGGGTGGTAACCAGTTCATGCCAAAAAACAACGAGGATTCCTTCGCCTGTGGTGCCCTCTACCTGCCGGCATGCTTCCAGCATTTCCCGTAAATGCCAATTCACCAAAGAATCATCTCTGCCACTCTCAACAATTCTCAATCGTTTTCTGCTTCGCATGCGCACAAACATGCAACCTCCAAACCACCTTCTACCTCTCTCTAGCCCCCCGGATTCACCCCCTTCCCCTGCCTTCACCCCCCACAATCTCTTCACTGCCAAACCAAGCAGCCAGCAAGCACAGCTTGCCTTAAAACTCTTGCAGAGGTCCCTCACCCTTCAAACTCGTAGATCTCGATGGGCTGGGTCGCCGGCTTGAGCTCGCCCGTGGTGGTTTCCACCAGCTTGTACCCTGCAGTGCACGAGGGTACAGTACGACAATGAGGGTGATTATATAATCGACTGAAAAATCACCTTGAGCTCGCCCGTGGTGGTTTCCACCAGCTTGTACCCTGCAGTGGACCGGGATGGCAGACAGAGTGTGTTAGTGTTACTGCCCAACTTGTTATAATTCAAATTCCTTAGTGGATCGCTTTTGAGTAAACCAAAAGTGGACGAGCCGACACTCGAATGGTGTTCCTGTATTGCTCAGCAGCATCAGCTTGTTGTTGTTGTTTGTATCCCATGGTGGATCGCTGGTCATTGTCAATGGCAAGTCACTGCTGTTTGTCTCTCCGCTCACCCATGACTGGTCCCAGCGCATAATCCTTTTGTGTGATCTTGAAGAAACCAACTCACCCATGACTGGACCCAGCGCATAGTCGTCGTCCTTCACTGCAGATGAGGACTCCACCTTGGCCTTGTACCTGGCAACACGCAGACATTGAAAGAGAGGGAGGACAAGGGAGAACAAGGGAAGAAAAGAAAAAAAAAAAACGAAAAAAAAAGCTTCTGAGTCGGCTTGAATGCAGACTTCAACAGCGACGATCACGGCGAAAGCACATCGTCAGCTTCAGGGCGGAAATGAAACGATTACTAAGGAATAACTTCAGGCTTACCCCTCACTGAACACGCCCGTGCCAAGGCGGAAGAGGATCGGCAACGATGCGCCAATCACGGCTAACAGCTGCCCGCTTGCCACGGAGAACGGCTTAGGCTCGGGCGGCACAAAGTTTTCAGGTGCCCGGATGTCGTTAGATGACGACGCTGCGGGCTCAGTCGCCTAGAAGGAAGGAAAGATAAGGATGGCAGATAGGTTGGTAACGGCTGAATGCGATTCACTGAATTCGTTGCTGCTCTGTCAAAGAATGCGCATGCATCAGTACCAAAAAAATAATGAAATACCTTTGACATAGAAGCAAAATATCGCGGATGAGTATAACCAAGTGAAAAATAAACCATAAGGTTAAGATTCGAAGCTAGACGGTGCTTACCTGTGAGCCCGAAGGCTGATCACCACCTCCCATCTCAGCACGAACAACTTGTCGGAACCCCCTGCTACTCCCCGCTACGCTAGCAGCACTCTTCGTCTGTAAGTTAATTCCGGTAGCGCCAGAGAGCGATGAAAGACTGGATGAAGGGAGCCGTGTCGCGGCTGCGGAAAGAGCTGCCATGGAACTACGCAACCGAGTCACAACGAAGCAGGGCAAACTAGGGTGGGATGGAATCCAGGAGCCTCGAGATTGCCGAGACTTGCTTCCGAATGAACACTACAAGATTTCTGAGTTTTGTGAAAACAAATTCAATCTCTAGTTCACCAGCAATTCCACCTCTGAGACGACGTGCGAAGCCTCTCGCATACCTGAACCAAGAAAGCAATTGGTGAGCGAACTGGTTACGGATCTGGACGATTGTACGCATGGTGCTTAGTAAACACATGCTTCCACGTGGGTGATTTTCCGCTCACCACGTAGTTCATCCACGATTCCAGGAGAAGTGCGTGCCGTGAGTCAGCCTCACTTGCTGTACAGCTCAAGGCCCAAATTGCGGGCCGCGCAGGGCAAGATTAGTAATCTTGCACACTTCTCGTTTTCTGTGCTGGTGTGTGGCGAAAATTTGGTTACAATAGGTGCGATGCAATCTGATTGGTCGAAGCCAGACTCACTCCCAAAGCATCGAGTTTTACTATGCAATTTGGGACTCGAGGTCCCCAAACCCACGTTTCCCCCGGAAGTTCGCTGACTCAGCGAAAAAACCAAGCGTTACGGGCGAAATCAGACAGGTCACCTTCCCAACACTCCCCTCGACTCTAACCACCCCTCAGCACTCAAACTTACGCAAGATTAGTAATCTTGTGCAATTTGGGCCTTGAGCTTTAACATTCCCCACACTTGCTTCATTATTTCCTGATAATCCAAAAGCAAACTAAACATTCAAAGAAACCCCACGTAAATAGCTCTACATCTAGAGAAGTTGTAGTCTTAAAGATGAAAGGGTTCTGGCAATAAGAGTGACATGGTGCTAAATCTGAGAAAGATTTGATGTCCATCCGGTGTGGAGATGGTCGTCTGCAGTGTCTGACGAAAGGGCATCCAACTGTCCATGCGCATTGTATCTCATCCATCAGGATAAAATCAACCCACCTTCTACATTCTTTACAGATCCTTTCGGTGTGGATAGGCCTGGAAACGACGATACACAGCAATGAAAGAAAATAAATAACAGAATATAGAACAGGGAGGAGAGGTTGAATAGCCATGATGACAAATCACCAATAATCTCACCCACTGGAACCACACCACATCACCGATTGCATCCATATTTACCGCATATCGCTCCTGCTTGTCCCATCAATCTCCCCACTCACCCCCCTGCCGTTGCCAAACTCCTCCCCAGCACAGCACCACGAGGGCATCAAGGGTCTCCACCACCGCCGCTGCTGTCGGCCGAATCTCGGGGTCCGGCAGCAGGCAATGCAGCGCAAACTCATAACCCTCGCATCCTCACTCAACTCCAATCCAATTTTACTCAAAAACTTACTCGTTTTTCAACAATTTCTACCGCATGTTGTTCTCACTCACCCCGCTGCCGCCTCCGCCGCCGTTGCCGAACTCCTCCCCAGCGCCCGGCACCACGAGTGCATCGAGCACCTCCACCACCGCCGCTGCAGTGGGCCGAACCTCCGGGTCCGGCAGCAGGCAGCGCGAGGCGAGCTTCAAACCTCCCATACTCACTCATTTCTCACCCCAATGCTACTCACACCTTGCTCAGATTTCACCCGTTCTTACTGCACATCACACCTGCTTCTCCTGTCCGTCTCCCTACTCACCCCGCTGCCGCCACCGTTGCCGAACTCCTCCCCAGCGCCCGGCACCACGAGGGCATCGAGCACCTCCACCACCGCCGCTGCAGTGGGTCGAACCTCGGGGTCCGGCAGCAGGCAGCGCAGCACAAACCCACTAAACCTCACCTTCTCACTCATTTTCTACTCCAATCTTACCCAAATTTTGCTCAACCTCCAGCATTCTTACCGCACGTTGCGGCTGCTTCTCCCACCCGTCCCCCTACTCACCCCGCTGCCGCCACCGCCGTTGCCGAACTCCTCCCCAGCGCCCGGCACCACGAGTGCATCGAGGACTTCCACCACCGCCGCTGCCTCACATTCTCACTCATTTCTCCAGCCCATTTTTCGCTCATTTTCACCCATTTTTACTGCACGCCGCGCCTGATTCTCCCGTCCATCTCCCCACTCACCCCACTGCTGCCGCCGCCGTTGCCAAACTCCTCTCCAGCGCCCGGCACCACGAGTGCATCGAGGACCTCTACCACTGCCGCGGCAGTGGGCCGAACCTCCGGGTCGGGCAGGAGGCAGCGCGAGGCGAGCTTGACCATCTCCACCAGGGCCGGCAGGGTGAAGCTTCCCTGCAGCTTCGGATCCACCATGGCCTCCACCTTAGCCCGGTCCATCAGCTTCGGCTTTGCCTGGGGGAGAGGAGCGGGAGGGAGAGAGAAACAAGGGAGAAGGGAGGCGGGAGGAGGGAGGAGGGAAGGGGAAAGATGCATGGGGCATGGGGCATGGAGGGCCCTCCCCTCGGGGTTGGGCAGCAGGCAGCGCGAGGCGAGCTTGACCATCTCCACCAGGGCCGGCAGGGCGAAGCTCCCCTGCAGCCTCGGATCCACCATGGCCTCCACCTTAGCCCGGTCCATCAGCTTCGGCTTCGCCTGGGGGAGAGGGAGAGGGAGAGAGAAACGAGGGAGAAGGGAGGAGGGAGAAGGAACAAAGTGCAGGAGGAGAGAGTGTGGGTTCAGACGGGGTAAGACTTGGTCGGCCCGGCTGGCCTGTAGTGGTTGGGTTGGGATCATGTGACATGAAAGCCCCTCGGGGTCCGGCAGCAGGCAGCGGGCGGCAAGCTTGACCATCTCCACCAGGGCCGGCAGGGCGGGAAGAGGGGGGAGGGAAGAGTAGGGAAGGGGAGGGAAGGGGAGGGAAGGGGAAAGACACATGAGGCCCCTCAGGGTCCGGCAGCAGGCAGCGCGAGGCGAGCTTGACCATCTCCACCAGGGCCGGCAGGGCGAAGCTCCCCTGCAGCCTCGGATCCACCATGGCCTCCACCTGAGCCCGATCCATCAGCTTCGGCTTTGCCTGAAGGGGAGGAGTGCATTGGGAGGCGATGAAGCGGCAGAAGCAGGAGTGAGTGAGTGAGTGAATGAGTGAGTGAGAGTGAGAAAGTGCAGTACTGCAGCTTTGGATTTACCATGCACTCTGCCTGAGCCCAGTCCATCAGCTTTGGCTTTGCCTGGGAGAGAGGGAAGAGGGAGTGGCAGAAGCAGGAGTGAGTGAGAGAGTGAGAGAATGAGTGAGTGAGTGAGCCCGGTCCATCAGCTTCGGCTTCGCCTGGGGGCGAGGAGAGGGGGAGGGAAGGGAATGGCAGAAGCAGGAGTGAGTGAGTGTGCGAGTGAGCCCGGTTCATCAGCTTCGGCTCCACCTGGGAGAGAGAAGAGAGGGAGGGTAGAGAATGGCAGGTACAGGGGTGAGCGAACCCCTTAAAGGCAAAAGAGGCCTGAAGTGAATCAGACAGCGTGCACGCGCGCTGTGCTCTCTCACAGGCACACAGATGACTTTTGAGTCGACTCAAATGTCACCTCAACCCTTAAAGGCAAGAGAGGCCTGAAGTGAATCAGACAGTGTGCACGCGCGCTGTGCTCTCTCACAGGCACACAGACCTCACGAGAGACTCTGGTGAGAGAATCTGATGCACGAACCTTGAGGAACCACACGGATAACAGCCCCAGGGTTTGTATCCGGGGGTTTGACGCTTACCCAGCGCACGAGAGACTGCTCGGTGGGCGGCAGGGAAGGGTCGAGCGGCCTTCTCCCGGTGACGAGCTCGAGCAGCAGCACGCCCATGGCGTACATGTCAGTGCGCGCCGTGCTCTCATGCACCCATGCCAGCTCCGGGGCGACTGCTCCTGCTGCTAGCGCCTGAAAGGCCAGACCAGAGGCAAGGAGGGAAGGGGAGCCAGGGGAAGGGGGGAGGGAGGGGAGGCAGGGAGGGAGGGCGGAGGCAGGGAGGGAGGGCGGAGGCAGGGAGGTGGTGAGGGAGTGGAGTAGGTAGGCATGGAGAGGTGGATAGGCCTCCTCCCAGTGACGAGCTCGAGCAGCAGCACGCCCATGGACTACATGTCAGTGCGCACTGTGCTCTCGTGCACCCATGCCAGCTCTGGGGCCACTGCTCCTGCTGCCAGCGCCTGAAAGGGGTCGGGGGGGAAGAGGCAGGCAGGGGGGGTTGTGTGGGCGTTTGTGAGTGTGCAGGAACATGAGTGGGCCTGTGTGTGAGGGCATGTGAGAGTGCACGTATGTGTGAGCGAGTGAGTGGGCAGGGCAAGCGACTGGACTGGAGAATACACTTATTTCGAAGTATGGGAAATCATACCACAGAGGGGCTCAAACGGGAGGAAGATCAGTGTTGGGAAAAGCCAGGCTTACCACAGGGAGTGCAGGCATGGAAGAGGCTTGGAAGCAAGGAGGTCGAGCGTGAGGGAGTGCAGGCATGGCAGAGGCTTGGAAGCAAGGAGGTCGAGCGTGAGGGAATGCAGGCAGGCAGTCGTGAGGGAATGCAGGCAGGGCGTTCAAAAGGTGGAAGGTAAACGAGTGAGTGAGTGATGACTTTCCCGCAGAGGAGCTCCGGCTTACCACGGAGGAAGCGGGCATGGCAGTGGGTTTGGACGCGAGGAGCTCGAGCGAGTGAAGGCAGTAGTCGGAGAGATAGGCTGTTGAGTCCTGTGCCACCACCACTGAGTTGGATGTGAGGTCCTGGTGGGTCATCTGGTGAAACAGGGAGAAGAAGGAAAGCGAGGAGAGGGAGGAGAGGGATTGATAGGTGCACAAGGGAGTGAAGGCAGTAGTCGGAGAGATAGGCTGTTGAGTCCTGTGCTACCACTACTGACGTGGATGTGAGGTCCTGGTGGGTCATCTGTGTGAACAGGAGGCAGAGTGAGAGTAGAAGAACACAGAGAGAGGCCGTTGAGTCCTGTGCCACCACCACTGATGTGGATGCAAGGTCCTGGTGGGTCATCTGTGTGAACAAGAGGCAGAGTGAGAGTAGAAGAACACAGAGAGAGGCCGTTGAGTCCTGCGTTACCACCACTGACGTGGACGTGAGGTCCTGGTGGG